TTTCCCTTTCTAAAGATACCATGTATTCTAGCAGAAGTCAACAATACTAAGTTAATGAAAGGGAAGTAAATACTAATTAAACAGAACAAGAGGAAAAGTATAATGCCTGCTTTACTTTTTGCACTATGCCCTGACTTCATCAAAGGGAGGCTGCATACCCTAGCCTGCCGGCTAGGTTACCTGACTTACTCAAGAAAGCTTGCCTTCATACTGAGTCCTTGCATAAAATTCCTCTGCTCATCCCTTCATGCCGACAGAGCAATGCCTATTTGGACTGGTATGCGGTGATTGATTCATTCATTTAACACGGATTTTCTTATGCAGGAGGGCCCAGACAACTTCTCCTTGCTGACCTAACATAAAAAATATTGGGTGGTAGAGCTCTGTAGTCCCCGCTTCTCAGGAGGCTGAGGTGGGAGAATCACTTGAGACTAGTTCAAGTCTGGCCTAGACCACATAACAAGACCCCATTTCTTTTTTAAAAAAAAAAAAAATAGGTGGCCGAAAAGGATGTCAGGGAATGGATTATTATGTTGGTTTAGATTTAATGGTTAATTGAACATTATTTTGTTTAAAATTTACAAAATAATAAACTTAGCTAGCTTAATGGAATGAAAATTGAGTCCCTTATCTGCAAAGTGAAAGCCTTTAGGTTCTTGTTACAACTGCAAGGATAAGATGGGACAGGACAGTCTGGTTTATTAATTTTGCAGTGTAAAATTTACTGCAATTACTGTTTATTCATTCAGGCTTCCAGAAACAAAAAAATTAAGCTACAGCTGCTTCTAATTTAAGAAACATTTCAAAATAAGACTTCAGCTAGACTCTGGCCAGTGACAGAAATAATCTGTATTTTTCTCTCAAAGTCCTAGAATCCTACCAGTATTATACCCTATTTTGTTTGATTATAAATATTGAAGGCAAATGTTTATGTCTTTGATTCAGTGCTCGGTGAGTTTGAAGGGCCCATTAGCTGACTTTTCTACACAAGCTGCTTTGATTGGCTGCCAGCTGGCCTTTGTCTTGCTTAGACACATGCTATTAAAGGTTGCTATTCTCTCACTGGCACTCTCCTCTTTACAGATCTTAGAAACCAACCATACAGACGAGCCGATGCGGTGAGGAGAAGCGTCAGGCGGCGCTTTGATGATCAGAACTTGCGTTCTGTTAATGGTGCCGAAATAACAATGTGAACCGGAGACCGGCCTGCATGAATACAGGGTGTGCGTGAATGAAACTGCCCACATGAACTTTAAGAAAGTGCTACCATTTAACTGCAGCCTTGAACACACAAAAAATATTCTTAAGGGCTCAGATTTAGCAAACACAAAATAATTTTAAAATGAGCTCTCCTTTCAACCCTTGTTAACAAGTGCCTAAAAATGGAAGTACCTGTTCAGATTAATCAAAGCAATAGGATTTGATTTGATTAGGTATCTTTTTACACCAGTATGTTTGTTTTTTTAACCAAAATGTAAATTTCTTATTAAACTCATTACCTGCCATTGTGATTGTCCCATGATGGCCCACCTGGTTTCCTGATGTTGTAAATAACATGAATGCATCTGCTGTGGGTCCTTTGCTGAGATGTCTTTGAAGGAATTTTGTTTTAGCCATATCCATCAACTTTGTATTTTACTTGCAACTTGGAAGAAGGAAAAAGTCACATGATGAGACTCCTTGTGTCTATAACCAGGCCCTGGCAAAGTGCAAACAGGATGCAATTGCAGTGGCACAAAGGTCACTCAACCCTTTGTTTCCAGTTTCACATTCCACTATTTCTGTGCTAGAGAACGATGCTCTGTGAGAAGCATTCACCGGTATGAATGTGGGGATATAATGTATAAGACTTATTTGTAGTACTGTGTTCTTCAGCTAGAGGCAGCTTTTAAATAATGCAAGTGTATTTATTAGCACTAAAATTAACATCTCAGTAATCAGTATTAGCATTTCTGAGGACCATTATTAATTGTGAGAACAGAAATTGGTGCCTTGCAAGGAAGAAGTTTACTAGCTCTATTAATAAGCATTCAAGGTTACATCTGCTAGCAGAGTAGTATTAGGAACCTGGCCTTACTCTCCCTCTGACAATCGCAATTTTTTCTTATTTTCTGTAAATTGGAGAAGATACACTTGGCATCGTCTATCAAGGCTAACTTGTTCATGCATTTCCCAGACTACTTATGGGGAATTGCAGTTTAAGTTGCTAAAAAGTACTAACAAACATGGTATTAAGCTTAAATAATATGTAATGGGACTAAATGGCTCACTAAGCCACTGTTATTTTTCCTTCCTCTCTGGCAGGGCACTTGATCCATTCCAAAGTCAAAAACTGGACTGAAGCTAAATTTGTACTTTTCATAATATACATTCTGCTTCTGGCTTATCTTCTTGGTACATCAATATATTAATTGTAAAGTTTATTGTATAGTATTTAACCGCTGAAGTTCCTATTTTATGTTGTGCTTATGTGAACCCCTTGGTGAAGGTCCCTTTTCCTTGGATGTGTAGTTATATGATCTTTTTAAATGTACAGATATTTTGCTATAAAACTGGTGCAGTTTTTTATGGTTTTTACACTTCTCTTTAATTCCCACCTAAGCCTCTGGGTAATATTGTAAATATTGTTTTAAAATGCATCAGCCTATGCTATACAATCTGAATGTTATTTTAACTTATAGTTTTTTTTAATATATATATTTAACTACAAGGACAGTTTAGGGAACAAGTTACCATATTTCACTTTAGTGTACCTATTTACAGAAAGATTAAACTGCCACCTGCAGGCACATTCCCATAAATGTGTACTTTAAAAAGAACATGCCAAGATTTTGTCTTTCTGTGGACTGAACATTCACTTTGATTAAAAATAGCAATTTGACCAAGTTGGACTTCCACTACAAAGCAGCTGTTTTCCAAAGTTCAATGCTGACATATATGTTAAAATAATTGCCTATTTATTCATCTACAAATAGACAACGTTGGCATGTTCTTTTCTGTTTGTCTATTAATGGGCCTGCTTCTTAGCAATATTAGAATGTTTTATAAAAGCAATTCATGTTACTTTTCTGGTCTTTTCATGGCATATGAGCAAATAAACTATTTACACTACTATTCTGTAATATGTCATAATCTTTCAATGGTACAATTTAGGGGGTTTTAGCAATATTATGTAGACTTACCTTCTAGAAACACATATATCTATCTTGCTATTTGAACTCAGAATCCAAATACACTTGGTAAACTTCAGGAAGGATTCCTCCCTATGTGAAATCTTGACCACTTGCTATATAAAACATAGAAAATGGATCTTGGAAATGAAACTACATCTCCAAAATTGTATTATTTATAAACATACAGCTTCTGGGGAAACAGCACCTTTGTTTGGTGAAATGCCACAACCCCCCAGCAGTCCCACCAAATGTTTCAATTAGGATGTTGTACAAATAAAGATAATAGGCTATATATGAACTGCATAGTTAACACTGCACCCAGCAACCATACCAGTTGGCAAGGTGCACAAGCAGTTTGGCCCCCATTGCACAAATGGACTGACAGTTGTAAGAAAACTCCCAGTCATCAAAAGTTTATGCATAACATTTCACGTTCTTTTTATGGAAACAAGGAAAATTTTAAATTTTAGAATACCTTTCAAGTGGCTTAAATTTATAGACATATAAATTATAGTCATTTAAGGGAGTATTATAATTTATATAATTAGTGTCACAACCACCACAGCGTACTTTGCATTTGTCACACATAGCTGCTTACAGATTAAAGGCAATAATCTTTATTCCTCACAAGAAGCCTGTGAGATATTTAACACTGTTGTGCACATTGGGAAACTGACTTGCCCAGGGTGCAATCTAATAATTGCCTATAATAAAGCCTTAGGTCTTTTGTTCCCAATTCAGTGTACCTTCCACTAAACCAGTTATGAAATGTGTTAAAAGCTTTATTTTATGAAAGACAAAAAATTAAGTTCTGCAATCAGTAAGGATCTTGTTTGTTTTACTATCAGACTGGTGCCTAATGGTAAAAGAAAAATCTTTTAATATTCCACAAATTCAGAATGTTTTCAAACTCAACTATAGCAGTAAGTTCAAATGAGGCAGAGAAAGTAACATTCATCTTTTAAAAGGTATTTACCAATGACTTTGAATTAAATACTCACGTTCCCCACTCCCTATCATGTAACACTAAAATTCACTGCAATGCCCAGTGACCATCCTGACTCAACTCTGCTCTCAATAGAATGGGGCTTGATATCCATCACTAACTCTGCTTTGGTTCAACATACTGGAATCATCTCTGTAGAATGAGGTGATCTTACACTGGAAAACAGATACACTTATACTAGCTCCATAATCCACATTTTGTTGTTTGTTAGACAAGGTCTGGCTCTATCACCCAGGATGGAATGCAGTGGTGCAATCCTGGCTCAGGGTAACCTCTGCCTCTCGGGCTCAAGCCATCCTCGCACTTCAGCCTCCCGAGTAGCTGGGACTATAGACACGCACAACCACACCTGGCTAATTTTTGTAGAAACAGGGTTTTGCCATGTTGCCCAGCCTGGTTTCAAACTTCTGAGCTCAAGTGATCTGCCTGCCTCGTCCTCCCCAAGTGTTGGGATTACAGGCACAAGCTGTTGCACCCAGCCACACATACCTATTTTAATGTTTGATAAAACTCCTCTTAGTCCTAATGTATTTCCTAATTTTTATCAGAAATGTCTCCAAAGATGAATTTATCAGATTTCGTCAAAAGGATGTTTTCCATTTCTTTTTAAACTAATAGCCCATCTATGCCCAAGAAACAAACATGTACGTCAAAGAAGTGATGGGTTTTTTTTTTTTTAAGTCTTTTTATCAAGAAAAAGAGGAATTACACTGAGAAAATATAACGTGGGCCTCTAGCAACTCTCACAGCATAGAGCTTGCTGCCTGAGTGGTGCTTAAAGGAAAAAACTGACACAAATCCAATTTAGTAAAAGATGCCACTTTTTCTAATAAATTATATTTATTTACAAAAGGTCTAATTTTATATAACTATGAGGTTCTTTTACATCAGAATAATATATAAACAGAGGTGAAAATCTGGTAATTACAAACACAGAAAATAGAAACCTTGTTCCCTTATTACTCACCTTTCAGAACAAGTCCTTGGCTCAGTTGTAGAGGTGGGGAAGACCAACACCTACCGAAGTTTGCAGGCAGGAGCCCCCAAAAATATTTATAAATAACACATTTAGACACCCTAAGGAACAGCAGTGAAGAATAGCATCAAGGAATGGCTTAGTTTGAATCTGATCTAATTCGCCAGCCACTCAATGTTTTCATTGGCCATGACTAGGGGCAGGGAGGATTAGCCAGTATGAATGTCAACTTTACAAGTAGGGTAATTACCATCAAATTAACAATTACCAATCACTAGCACTGAGATGGCCTTGAACTAGATCCTACTGAGAATCACAGAACAGTTTTGATAGTCTTTATATGGCAAGTTTAAAAAGCAGAGAAGCTATTATACCTAAGTTTCTTAAAATGGAGGGTTAGGGAGAATGTGTGGGTAATTAGAGCAAAATCATCTCTCACTTTCCACCTCACCTTAAAGACAGCGCCAAAAAACTGAGCGCCTGACATGTCACCGTATTTCAGCCCTATTCAAAAATAGCCCAAAATGATTATTTTCAACTTTAAATTGTATGTTCTCACAAGTTTTGGACATGTCTGAAGTAAAAGCTAAGGTACAGTCACAGGACCTTATTTTAGGTGCACTTCAATTATGACCGTGACTTTAGTGGTGGGTTAGTATGGTTTATTGCAATGATGCTTTTATAAGCCCTTTAATACAGATGATGGGTACCATGGATGCCAGATGAATACATATTTCAACTAGTATTTTACATTCATTCCCAAAGTGCCTATTATGTGCCAGGCACTGTCCTATTCCACAAGGATATATAACAGTAAGTGAACCAGACAAATCCCTGCCACCGAGGAACTTACATGACCACCAGTTAAGTCGAAACAATTGGAAGAGTAATGTAAGAATAAAGATGGTAAGAATCATCAGACTGGTATACACCATTACCAAAAGCACAGAATGAGATTATAAGCCTGTTAGAACACAGTTCCATGAAAGTAAAGACATTATTTTGCTTTCATGTAAAATGAGTGTAACTTTATGTAGAGAATGTAGAATGGTTGAATTAAAATCTACCTAACACTGAGAGAAATATATACCCAAGGGAAAATAAAAAGTCTGATTTAAGATAGAAGGAATTAATGTACTTTGCTTCATTTTGTTTAGAAACCGTTTTAAAAGCTGAAGTTTTTTAGTTTTATAATTTATATTTAAGTTACATAATATACTTAAATATCCCTTTTTTAAGCAAGCATTCATCACTCCTCCCTGGGTACTATTGTGATTACAAATAGTTTTCTCTTACATAGCATCTAAGCTTTAAAAAAAAAAAAATCCAATCTTCATATAAAGGGGTTACTCCCTTCTGGATGCAAAAATGAGTGGCTGCATAGCCAGGACTCAGCTGACTGTAAGACCAGAAGAAAACCGGGAACATTTAGACAAATGTTTTTTAAAGCATATAATCAAATTACATAACTGAATGAAAACTGAATTACACAGTTTGAAACTGAAAACTTTCCAGAAAAACGCACACAGATTTTTTTTTTTAGGAGTTTTTACAGTTTCTTCATCCTACCATTAACTGATTCCCTTACTTTAGGACAATCCTTTTTCATATTATAGTTGTACGAAATGAGGCCCAGTTAAGCAAAAGTCAAAAGATGACAAAGCTGTGACAAATCATTATCAAATTTACTGGGAGGCATAAAATGCACTTTTAAAGTTGGAAAACATCAATAATTTATATGCTGAAGCTACTCTGGCTAATGATAATAAAATGCCAGCTACTATGTTGAAAAAAATGTGGTGGGACCACTGTTTTTATTTAAAAGCATTACATTGTTTTAATTCAGTTAGGAAGTGTATACTTCACACTTGATTAGCTAAATTATCTAACTTTTCATACAAATTCAATTTTCCCACAAAGAAATATGAACTGGGAGAAAAAAAATTTAAATTCTGGATATTAAGTATGATATTAAATGTATACGTGAATTTGATCTAATAGTTCATTAGTATTAATGACACTGAGGGAAGATAAACCCTCAACATTTTCCTAAGAATCTGAGGCTTTAATGAAAAGTATAAATTCCCCTTATCTGAAAATAAACACACTTTCCTGTTTTAACATATTTAACTCTAATAGAACCAATATTCCAAGACGTTTCAGTTTTTACCAAACTGAAGATTTAAAAACTTAACCTATTAGTTTAAAAATATTCACAGAGAACAAAATCTTATCACCTGTACCTTCAGACTGTCAAGTATCTTTCTGGCAACTAAATCCCATTTGATGGGATCCTGAAAGGGAGACAAAGGATCACAGTCACTTAAATTACATCTTTTATGGCAAGGATGTTGCATTTTGAATTGCAATTTGTTTACTACTATGGTTGTTTTTAAGTCAAATAATTTTCATGGGTGAACTACAGGGAAACTTTATATTGTGTTGTAGGGATTTGCGGTTATAGTAAGATTATCTCTGTAAGAAATACAGGAATCTATTTTGAGGACATGCTAAAACACATCAATAGCTTTTTATTTAAATAGAAAAATCAAAACTTTAAAGCTGTACTTTAGAAATCATTCATGGATGTAATTAAAACAATGTTTTTTACATATTCTAAAATTCTTTTGTGAAACATCACTAGTATATATTTGCCGATATCAAATGCATACTTTAAAGATTTGCCACTGACTTCCATGTCAAGTGATTGACATGATTAGCAGTATTAACTCACTACAATGGGACCTCTGAAAATTGAGTCTAGACAATTCCCTGTTGCCAAAGTTGTTATGTGTTTTGGCTCTAATATACAAATAGGAGATTAATCTCAAGCAAGCAATTTGATTACTTCACATTTTCTCCAAGATGAGTCTTCCTACAAAGCTTGGTCATATTTCTTAGCAGAAAAATGACTTGGGAGACAAAATGAGAAACAATCCCCTCGCCCACCCCTTCAGCCTTTAAAAAGTAGACATTATATTTAATTCAAACGGGGGCAAAATGGGAAAGACACATTCTGGTCAAGTCCACTTTCAAAACTCACTAGGATAGTTAAGAAAAAAAACTTTTTGTTCTTCTAAATCCCAACTTGAAATAGAATCTCTTCAAGTGTACACATTAAAAGAATAACACAGATAATACCAAAGAATAGGTGCTAAAATTTACTTATTTACTTAAAAAATCTCCTGCACTGAAGGAAAATAGTATAAATTACATTACCAACCTTCAGAAGTTAGCATGTAGAGTATTCTGTCTTCAAACCACTGCCTCTCTAAAATAGTCTGTAAAAAATTCATAGGTGAAAAACAAATCTAGGGACCTCAAATGCACTGATTTATAATATTCTTAAATATTAAAAAAGGAAAGTAAACTAGCTGTGTGGGTAAGATGAAGCAAAATTTCAGGGATTTAGTACCTTTAAAATGATCATACAATTTCTTTAGAGCTGAGCAGTTTAAGTAGAAATAAATACTAGTACACACTAGAAGAGAAGGTTTAATAATTGATAAAAATGTACAAAAATATTCAAATCAGAAATGCTTTAGAATGTGTACCACGAAGTCAATACTTCTCAGTGAGTAGGGAAGGCAAAATACTTCCTCAATAGCGGGGGAAAAAAGCAAGAGAAAGACTGAATTTAGAAAAAAAAGACAACTGTTAAAGAAAATGTTTAAGTCAACTGTTTTTTTTTTTTTTTAGACAAGGATATTGCAACTATCACTTAAAGTCTGGTGGCACATTCTTTAGTAGGTCCTTAAGGCAATATATTTAAATTAATTTACAATTTGATGTTAAAGTTTTTTTTAAACATCACCTCAAAATAGATGCTCAAAATAATGCCCTCACAATAGCCTTTGTAAAATGTATTCAGATGTTTGATAAAAAATAATGGTGGCTTTATATTACAGTAGTGCTCATTAGCACCACTATAATTAAGGGTCTACCAAGTTTCCAGCAAAACCACCTATTTCTTAGGAGTTTCACCATAAAAGATCACATTGGCTATAACCAGTTGGGTAGTGCACAAAAAAGCAGTTTTATCAGTTGCTGGTGCTTTTTTTGTACTACTATATTATCAAAAAATTTTTCATTATATCTTCAAAATCCAGCTTCTATAAAGTAAATCAAATCACCTCATGACTTAGATTTTAGAACAAAGTAGAGACATCTGCAGTTATCAGTAAATTGCCACCTTTAATCCATCCTACAGTGCCCTGTGAAAGGGTCACAGAAAGACAGTTATGACTGTATGAAAATATGATTCTTGATACAGAATCAAAAGTTATTTTCAATTTCCTTTGCTTTTATAAAGTCCACGATAACAATACTTAAATGCACTTTTTTTTTTTTTCCTGTGATATAATTAAAACCCAGTGTTACTTCAGTTGAACTTAAAATAGAGTCCCTGGTCTGAATCAGACTTTAAATCATACTGTAAACATATATTTGGTATAATTTATTGATCATCATCCAGTTGCTCCAAAAGGGTTCTTCTGCGCTTTTCCAATTCCCCTTCACTCAGTTCACTGCCAGAAGTATCCCAATTACCCTGAAAAGACATTGATTACAATTATAGTTGACATCAGTACTCAGAGGTTTAAGGGCTGAGCCTGTGAAAAAAGAATCCAGTATCTATATAAATTCTCTTCCAAAGAAACACATTTCACAGAGTATAAAGACTGTGTGAATATGAAACAATATTTCCATTTAATGGAAGCCAGGTATTCATTTCCTAGATAATATATTCCTTGCTAATTTTTTTTTTTGGAGACCAAGTCTTGTTCTTGTTACTCAGGCTCATCTCAGCTCACTGCAACCTCTGCCTCACAGTTCAAGCAATTCTCCTGCCTCAGCCTCCCGAGTAGCTGGGATTACAAGCGTCCGCCACCACGCCCAGCTAATTTTTGTATTTTTAGTAGAGACAGGGTTTCACCATGTTGGCCAGGCTGGTCTCAACTCCTGACCTCGTGATCTGCCCACCTCGGCCTCCCAAAGTGCTAGGATTACAGGCATGAGCCACCGCGCCCGGCCTATTCCTTGCTAATTTTGTAGCTTCCCCCTGGTTCCAGAAGTATTATCACAAAAACAGAAGTAGTATGCTTTAAGTAGATGAATTCCTGTGCCAAATAAATACACAAGACTTATGAACAGGACAAGATTTAGGCTGAACAAACAAAAATAATACTGCACTATATGTGAGACACAACCTTTGAAAAGTGGATAGTTCACATATCGTCCTCTTTCACTCCAGGGATTTCATTTAACCCACCATAAGCTGCTAAAAAGTACAAAGGAAGCATTCACTCTTCACTTACGATGTGACTCAGACTCACCTGTTTCAGCTCTAAAAAAAACCCACCCTATACCAACGAATCAGAATATCCAGAGATCCCTAATAGGGTTTTATCTACATAGTTTATGCTCTCCAGTGATGATTCATAGGCATTTGCCCTTGCTAAACCCACAGTATTTGCATTATTAGGCTCTGTCATTCATATATACATATTTTTGAAAACGACTAATTATGTAATCTGTTATTGAAATAATTAACTTTGGCTTATATTCTCCTCTCCTATTTTTTTGCCCTTTCTCCAACCCAAATCAGTATTTCTAAAAGTTACTGAATTGCTACTTTTTGAAACAAAGGATTTAATGACAGTGACAACTGCGGACATCTGTAGAATCCCAGATTTAGTCTCTCACTTAAAAAAAAATTTGAGAATTAGGTAAAACATGTCCAGTGGCACTTCTTAGTGACCATATCCTTTCTTAGTGAGTTAAGGCTACAGTTATGAAATGCTGTATTTTAAAAATGTCAAATTTAGGAGAATCAAATCTAGGATCATTCATGACCAAAAACTATCACATTGTGTGAAATGCAGTTAACTGAATTTTCACTGTTTTCTTCAATTGTAGCACACTTGGAAAAGTCTATTCTTTCAACACCACCATGGTTTAACCAAAGAATCCATTTTTGCATTTTGAAAATACAGGTAGGAAACAATTCTAAATACTTACAGAATCCTTTCCAGTCTTTTTCTTAGGCGATTTGTGTTTTGATTCTGATCTTTGTCTAGTTCTGTCTTTTTCACTTTCCCGATCTTTTTCTTTTTTATCCTTCTCTCGCTCAGCATCGGATTCTGGAGAGTCCTGAATGAATAGAAAATAACAGGTTAGCATTTTGATGAAGATACCATTCTTATATAGGTAATTCTTATATAAGTAATACTTAAGAACATCTACGTATAACAGATTATGTGTTCTTAGAGCGAATGTGAATTGTTAACCTCAAGGATTAAGTAAAATTTACCCAAGATCCATGGGGGACAGCCTTCCCTTGGGAAGGATAATATTCTAACAGGATAAAATACCACTCATGAGACTTACTACCACATCAGATGTGTAGTATCCATTATGTAAATACAGAGACATATTACATTTTTCACCAACTCAGTATAGTACTGGTTTATACATGTACCTAGGATACTGCTGTTAGCTTTAACACATAAGGCAGACAGCTGTATTAATAAAATTTTCTTGAAATTGCTGAGTAGGAATTATTTAAAATTTAACGTCAGTGCTTAAATGAATGGCTCTTCATTAGATATACACAAATTCAAATAAAAAAAAATAACTGAACAGGTTTGTGGTGATACCCACGCCTTCACATTTTGAAAAAGCTCCTTAGGTGGATCCTAATGTACACCTAAGATTAAGACCTACAAGCGTAGAGGAGTGGTTGTTTTAACATTTAAACTTGTGGTTCTCAACAACAGCTTCAGTCTACATAGACACACAAATATACATACATACACAGAGACACATGCACGCACAAGAGTCTCTTTTCTAGAAGATTAATTTTAAAGACCGGGATGGGGATCCTAACACTGGTGTGTGTATTTTTTCAAAGCTCACCAAATGATTTTAATGGAAGATCAAGGTTAAGAGCCACAACAATGTGCCCACCTGAACTGTCCTGGGCTGCAGAGAATTAGATAGAAAAAGGTTGTATGATCTCTGAGGAAGTTAAGGGCAAACGCCCAGGTGAAATGTAAAAATTAGAAGCTTGCTTACAGATTTATGTCTCCTCTTCTTACTTTTCTTCTTATGCTTTTTTGACTTTTTGTAACTTCTCTCTGAGCAGCATAAAAGGAAAACAAAAGTGTCAGAATTTGAGTATATCAGTATAAATGATTTAATCAAATAAACAGAAATGCTCACCAGACTCTGCACTAGAAGAATGTTCTGAAGCAGAACGAGACTCTGATCGTTGTCTTTTTTTCTTTGAATGGCTATCATCATCATCTGAATCTGACCCCTAAAAAACACAAATAATTTCATTCATAATAATGCTAACATTTTAATACACTCATGGTGCCATAACTTTAATACACTCTTGGTACAATAAATTCCTTTACCGATCGAGAGCGGGAACGTTTCCTATGATGTTTTTTAGATTTCTTAGAATGTTTCTTGTTCTTTGAATGATGATGCTGACATTCATGCTACGGGGACAAAAAAAAATTTCAAGAATTTACACTTACTGTAGACAGACTTTAAAGATTTTTAAAGAATCTTTAAAAAGCCACGGAAGTAAGTTCTTAGAGTAAAACTCCACAATATATAGAAATGTAATTCCTTGAAACTGCAAAGAATTGTCACTTAAATTTTTTTTCTGTTCTTTCTTGCCCATCCTATACCCACTCATTTAGACATCTAAACAAAACAATGTTAAAAACCATTAGTAGAAAAAGTAGGTTTCTTTTGTTTTTGTTTTGAGACAAAGTCTCGCTCTATCACCCAGGCTGGAGTGCAGTGGTGCGATTTTGGCTCAATGCAACCTCTGCTTCCCAGGTTCAAGCAATTCTCCTGCCTCAGCCTCCCAAGTAGCTGGGACTACAGGCGCGCACCACCACGCCTGGCTAATTTTTGTATTTTTGGTAGAGACAGGGTTTCACCATGTTGGCAGGGCTGGTCTCGAACTCCTGACCTCAGGTGATCCATGCGCCTCGGCCTCTCAAAGTGCTGGGCTGGGATTACAGCAATGAGCCACTGCACCCAGCTGAAAAAGTTATTTATTTTATTTATTTATTTATTTTTAAGACAAGAGTCTCACTCTGTCGCCCAGGCTGGAGTGCAGTGGCACGCTCTCGGCTCACTGCAAGCTCTGCCTCCCGGATTCACACCATTCTCCTGCCTCAGCCTCCCAAGTAGCTGGGACTACAGGTGCCTGCCACCATGCCCGGCTACTTTTTTGTATTTTTAGTAGAGACGGGGTTTCACCGTGTTAGCCAGGATGGTCTCGATCTCCTGACCTCGTGATCCGCCTGCCTCAGCCTCCCAAAATGCTGGGATTACAGGCGTGAGCCACCGCGCCTGGCCTGAAAAAGTAGTTTTTTTTAGAAGAATGAGAATGGTGTGGTTTAGAAGAAAAGTGTAATATGCAGTCTGCTTTTAATGACAGTGAAATACAATGACATTCAGGCATGGTTTTTGTGATCACTTTGGCTTTGATCAGCAACTTAGGCCAAGCACTAAGATAAAAAACAACCTGAGAGCCATCCTTGAATTGAAATATATAAAAGTTGATGTCAGAATAAATCCAAAATCTACTACCCCTTTTTCATTTCCCCCAAGGAGCCATTTCCTTCCTCCTCAAACAAGACATCCTTAGACATCCATATGTTGTCTTTGTGGATTTCTACTCATTAAAACAATTATTAGGTTAGCAGTGATGGGGGGTGCTACAGTACAAGCTCCTTGCCCCTAAACATTTCTATGGCTTTGAGAATAAATTCTACCTCAGTTACAGATGTGGAAATGGAAAATCTGGATCTCAGAATGGACTATTCTCCTTTTGATCTCACTGAATGCTAACCTACCTTTAATACCTCAAGCCTCAGATTATTAAGGCCCCAAAATCTGAATGTGTTCAGCCCTTCCCTATGGTACCATTTTTACTCCATTTACCACCTAACTACTTTATCCCCAGTACAAATCACAAAAGAATCTGGAGATTCTTGAACTGGGGGAAAATAGGTAAGACACTATCTAGAGCAAAGCTTCTCAAAATTAAATGTATATTTTAATGCTTGGGAATCTGGTTAAAATGCAGAGTCAGATGCAGGATTTCTGCCCCATGGGGCCTAAGGTTCTGCATTCCTAAGAAGCTTCTAGGTAATGTAGATGCTTCTGGTCTGCACTACATTTGGCACAGAAAAGATCTAGAGGCCCAGCATGGTTGCTCATGCCTATAATCACAGCACTTCAGGAGGTCAAGGCAGGAGACTTGCTTGAGGCCAGCCTGCCCAACATAGCAAGATCCCATCTTTATAAAAACAGAAACCAAAAAAACCCCACAAAAAGCCAAGCGTGATGGCACGTGACTGCAGTTCCAGCTACTCAGGAGGATCATTTGAACCCAACAGTTCAAGGTTGCAGTGAGCCATAACTGCACTGCTGCACTCTGGCCTAGGAGTGGATGACAGAGAGAGACTCTGCTTTAAAAAAAAAAAAAAAAAAGAAGGCCGGGCGCGGTGGCTCAAGCCTGTAATCCCAGCACTTTGGGAGGCCGAGACGGGCGGATCACGAGGTCAGGAGATCGAGACCATCTCTACTAAAAAAAATACAAAAAACTAGCTGGGCGAGGTGGTGGGCGCCTGTAGTCCCAGCTACTCAGGAGGCTGAGGCAGGAGAATGGCGTGAACACGGGAGGCGGAGCTTGCAGTGAGCTGAGATTCGGCTACTGCACTCCAGCCTGGGTGACAGAGCGAGACTCCGTCTCAAAAAAAAGAATTAAAAAAAAAGGCCAACAGGACCACATCTAGAGGCAGCTGTGAAACAATATAGGGCCTATGTGAATACATGTTACACAAAAACGGTGGTTAACATTATATTAATCAAGAACAATAAATCAAGAAATAGGAAATCAAGGAATAGGAAAGAGTCAATTTAGTGTCCTGCTATGCCCATTTACAATGCCACACTATAATATTAAACACATACTAGTTTTTAGCTTATGAAGTATTAGTTACTCTAAAACTGACAGCATGGCATACTTGTTAAAAGCACTGACCAAGGTCAACATGCCTGGCTTCCAACCCTGTAACTCACTTTACTTCTCTTTGCCTCTGTTCACCTATTAACTTCATAGGCTTATTGAAAGGATTAAGTTCCTAAATACAATATACATAAAGCAATCAGAACACTGGCCCACTATTATTCAATAATTATTGGTCAATTCAGCATACTTACAAGGGCCTAACTGAAACTGTCATCAAAATACTCTTACTTAACTTTTTTTTTTTTGAGAAGGAGTCCCACTCTGTTGCCCAGGCTGGAGTACAGTGGCATGATCTTGGCTCACTACAACCTCCACCTCCTGGGTTCAAGCAATTCTCTTGCCTCAGCCTCCTGAGTAGCTGGGCGCCATCACTCCCTGCTAATTTCTTTGTATTTTTAGTAGAGACAGGGTTTTGCCATGTTGCTCAGCTGGTCTCAAACTCCTGACCTCTGGTGATCAGCATGCACCTCAGCCTCCCAAAGTGCTGGGATTACACGCGTGAGCCACCGTGCCCAGTGAACCTTACCTATTAAAGTGACCTGAGATGTTAATGTTTCATTGCTTATTTCAACAAAATCTTACCATTTATTCCAGAAACTCTCTGGGTTTTCTACACAGCTAATGTGGTATAATGCCTCAAATGTGCCTAAAAGCTGTTTTCTATCTGCTTTACAAGAAAAATTTTTCAGTTTTAAGTTTACTAGTCAATCCATGTGGCTGCCAAACTGCTCAATTTCTAAAACTTTCTAAAAATACAAAACAGTTTTCACATACAAATCTTTATATTCCTATGGAAACTTATAATTTCTCTCACTTAAAAGCAGTTTTTATAGGAAAAATACCATTCTCTAACTGTCCCAGGTAAGTACATTTGTATGAAAGCAGTGAACATTAAATACTTTCATCATTCTAAGTTCTTCAATTTGTTTACATTTTTATATATTTTATGTATGAGAATTCTAAAATTACCTCAAGCACATGCATAAAATCTTTAAATATTCGTTTTCTTTCAGATTCTAGAGTTATGTCCTCAAATGCTGGCTCTTTTACAAATCTCTCACGGATCTGAAAAATTCAGATATAAAATAAGTATATGAATACCAAGAAAGTACACCAATACATCTAAAATAAATCATAACAGCAAGTAAAAACTGTGATGAACCAGTCCCTTTAAAGTCCATTATTTCCTCCCTTCAAAAGTCCAAACCATTCTTTACAAATATTCCTAAAGACAGACTCACAGCTGATTTAATGCTTTTATTATATTCTAAATATATTTAATATATTCTACAAATAAATTTAGCTTTTGTGGCTATAAAATGAAAAATAAAAATATTTTAAATTTCTTTCTCAACTGTAAAGAAAATAATTCCATTAGAAAAAATTAACAAGTATACATACATCTTCCCAGACAGCATCCAATTCTATCGGGGGAGCAGCTTGTTTTAACATACTCTTAAATGCAGACTCTTTTCGTTTCATCTTCCGAGCCTCTTCTTTTTCTCTTTCGCGTTCACGGGCTTCTGCCTTTTCTAGTAACTATTAGAAAATCATACTTAATCAGTTACAATAGTATCATAACTATTAGCTGAAATAATTTATTGTTAATTTAGGAATCACACATTGTTTAAAATAAGCTTGTCCAACCTGTGGCCCATGGGCCACATGTGGCCCAGGACAGCTTTGAATGTGGCCCAGCACAAATTTGTAAACTTTCTTAAAACATTATAAGGTTTTTGCAAATGTTTTGTCTTTTGTTTTTAGCTCATCAGCTGTTGTTAGTGTCGGTGTATTTCATGTGTGGCCCAAGGCCTGGTTTATAACGGCCATATTATGTATAATAATAACAGTTAATTTGAGCAAAGGAAGTTTAATGTCAATCCATCATCTAAATAAAATTTTTTCTTTTACCTTACCTGAAAGACTGGCTACTACTCTGTAAAATTCTATTCATATTCCGTTTCCAATGCGCTGCAACTTAGCTGCTTTTATCTGAATAAATTAAAAACTATACTATTAAATTAGTTATTTACAAGAGAAAAAATAACTTACACTATTGAAAGCCAATTTGATATTTCCAGCGTCTAATGTAGTTGATCTTTTAGTTGAACTGATTATCGCCACAAAATCTTCAAAAGTGGTATTTACTTCAACTACAAACCCTTTATCCTAAAAAAAAAGAAATCTTAGTATCAATAATGCATAAATCAAAGGAATACAGTACTTTTAAGATATACTATAGGTTAAAAGGTAAGAATAAATAGTTATTTACCTTTAGAATGTCTTTTATTATCTTCTTCTCATCATGATAACGTGCTTTAAGATCCTCAACATAAAACTTGAAAAGATCAAGTGCAGTTGATCCTAATGAAAAAACTAAAGAAGTCAAAAGCTAGCTCTAACCAAAGAGCTGCAATTACTTTTTTGTTTAAAAAACAAAAATAAAGCACCCTTCCCCCAACATAATCACCTTTGCATTTGGCCCATTCCAACTACTACCATAACGGTAAATTAGGAAAGAAAATAATCTTACCAGGCTGACCAAGCATATTAGTGAATCTAATATCAGAACTAATAGTTGGATACAATTCCATCCAAGATGACATAGAATGTAGTTGTCCATGTTCATGTAATTCATCTAAAAATATCTAGGGAGAAAAATTATATTTGAAAAGTCATCTAAGTACATGAGAAATAAGAGTCTAACATGAAAACACACAAAAACTTTGACATAGTTAAAACTCTTCTACCAACGTTATCCCAAACCTGTTTGGGTATAAAGACTATTTCCTATTTGGGCAAAGTAACAACTGCCTTTAGGCAGAAAAATATTTTGTCTTATAGAGAAAATAACTTTTACAACAGTGCATTATCCTCCTAAGGTTCTATTTCCTACCCTTTCAGATAGAACCTAATTTTTAGCTTTAAAAAAAGGTAGAACTTAACTTACAATATTGGGTATCCACCTCAAATGGTGAGGCTAAAGAATGTATACGCATGTTTCCTTAAACGTATACTCTGTCTTTAAAAATAGTGCCTAATGTGTTCTAGGTATTTTTATTTATTTTTTTAAAAACAAGGGGCCTTAAAGGGAGGATGTATAATTTTCCCAAAGTAGTTTGGAGACCTAGGATTCAAACCCATATCTAGTTTCAATTTCCACACTTCCTGCTTCCAACTCAATCCTTAGGGAGTGTAATCCTGTACATCAGCGGATCCCAACCCCCGGCCACAGAACCAGAACCGAGCCACACAGCAGGGAGTGGTGGAACAAGCATTACCGCCCGAGCTCCGCCTCCTGTCAGATCAGTGGGGGCATCAGATTCTCATAGGACTGTGAACCATATTGTGAGCTGAGCATGCCAGCAATCTAGGTTGTGTGGTCCTCATGATAATCTAATGCCTGATGATACCAACCCCCCACCCCACCCCAACAGGAAAAACTGTCTTCCACTGCTATACACAAATGTGACTAAAAGAAACTGTAACCCTATATTCTGTTGCCACGATTCCTATACCTGCACTGTTCAATAAGGTAGCCACTGACCTAACATAGCTTCTGGGTTCATGAAATGTAGCTAGTCTGAGTTGTGATGTGCTGTTAAGTATAAAACATACAATCTTGAAGATTTAGTACCACAAATGTGGGTGGCAAGCCACCCGAGTGCCGAGGCAAGAGACTGAGGGCACGAGCTGTTCCAGTATAATAAAATATATAAAATGAGAATAGTTATATTAGATATAGATCAAAGATATGATTATATATGAATATCATTATTCATTAGTTTGTAGCAATTACTCTTTATTTCAATATAATAATAATCCTCGCTCTACAATCATAACCTAGGAAAAACCAGGCCATACAGTGATAGGAGCTGAGGTGACACAGTGAGAAGTGACCAGAAGAGTGCGAACCTTCTGTTATGCCCAGGCAGGGCCACCAGAGGGCTCCTTGGTCTAGTGGTAACGCCAGCGTCTGGGAAGACGCCCGTTGCCAAGTGGACCGTGGTCTAGCGGTAGCGTCAGTGTCAAGGAAAAACACCTGCTACTTAGCAGACTGGGAAAGGGAGTCTCTCTTTTCCCGGGGGAGTTTAGAGAAGACTCTACTCCTCCACCTCTTGTGGAGGGCCTGACATCAGTCAGGTCCACCCGCAGTTATCCGGAGGCCTAACCGTCTCCCTGTGATGCTGTGCTTCAGTGGTCACACTCCTAGTCCACCTTCATGTTCCATCCTGTACACCCAGCTCTGCCTTCTTGATAGCAGTAGCAAATTAGTGAAAGTACTAAAAGTCTCTGATATGCAGAAATAATGGCGTAAGCTGTCTCTCCTTTCTTTCTCTTTGCCTCGGCTGCCAGGCAGGGAAGGGCCCCCTGTCCAGTGGACACGTGACCCACGTGACCTTACCTATCATTGGAGATGGATCACACTCCTTACTCTGCCCCTTTGTCTTGTATCCAATAAATATCAGTGCAGCCTGGCATTTGGGGCCACTACCGGTCTCCGTGTCTTGGTGGTAGTGGTCCCCTGGGCCCAGCTGCCTTTTATCTCTTTGTGTCTTTATTTCTACAATCTCTTGTCTCCACACATGGGGAGAAAAACCCACCGACCCTGTGAGGCTGGACCCTACACACAAATATTAGCAATTTTTAAAAATACTGATTATGTGTTAAAATAATATTTGGTTATACTGGGTTAAATTACTAAAATAAATAATAAATTAAAATCGCATTTGTGGCATTCACATTTTTATTGGATAGAGCTGTCCTAAAGCAACATCAGGCACTTACAACTCCACTCATTCCTCTTCAGATGAGACTAAATATGTCCATATTCCCTTGCAACTCTGAAATTCTTTTGTCAAACCCTGCCTGTATCTACCCTTTTGTCAACTACCCTTACCCTTCAACATAAATGGAATTTTGTCTTAACCACCCTTGTTGGGCTCACCAGGTTCCTCACTTGCTCCCTCTTTTGGGTCTCTAAAATAGTTTGGAAACCATCTTCAGTGATGCTCTAGTATCTTAGAACTTACCTCACTCTATCATACCTGTTTTGCTAGTGTTTCTTACACTTCCAGACTGGTGAGATCCGTCTGATAAAGTCAAAGAACTGTGACACTGAAATTATTTCTATAGTGGATCCCTAACCTGAAAGAATCACCTGAGGACTATTTTTTTAAAGCAATATTAATATTCAGATATTTAGAATATTCAATGACCGATGTGAATTCAGGTTTGAAAACCACTCTGACGAAACTGTATGGTTCTTATTCTCTATTTACTTGCCCCATTTTAGGGGTGAAAAAGCCTTGTCTTTTACATTATGGAAAGCAAGTTGCTTCAAAGATGGCTGGGCTTGATGTTTCTTCTTCCCTTGGCACTAATGACATCTTGGATGACGTAATACTTTTTTTCCTTTCTCTCTCTTGGTTGAGGGCGGGGTATGTTTGAGTCCCGTACACATTGCAGGATGTTTAGCAGCATCTCTTGCCTCTACACACTAGATGCCAGTAGCATGTTCCCCACAAATAGTGACAATCACAAAAGCTTTCCTGGTTGAGCACCACTGTCTTAGATCCTAATCGGTATTAATTTTTCTCCATCTTCATCCTTCTTTTTGTTCCTTTATAAACTGCTCTCAGTGTAACTGTATTCACATATATGCTTGAATTTCAAACCTTACGAGATTTTGTTTAATAAGAGTCACCCTTATTTTTCAATTCTTCCTTCATTCTTTCCCTCTTAACTGGTTTTCTCTTACCCAAGAAAAGGCTTTCTCTTAACCCCAAGCTTATTTCAATTTCACCTTACTGAATATCTGAAAGGTATAACTATACCTCTAGTTACCTTTCAACTATTTGGCAGACCTTTAACTTTCCCTACCATGCCAATGGTCACTAAACACCTTAAATGCCACTCTTTAACAGTATTCTTTCAGTCCTCATTCCATAAAAATTTCTTAACATGTTACTTTAGATGGATTCCTTTACCTCAGGGGTTTCTCAAAGACTTATTTGAAGGACTGTTTAAAAAAATCAGATTGTTAGGTCCCATTTCCAGAATCTGATTCTTTAAGTCTGACGTGGGGTTTCAGAATATGTATTTTCATAATTTCCCAGGTTTTAGAATATACATTTTCATAATTTCCCAGGTGATACTGATTCTGTGCATCTGGGGATCATGCTTTATCTTAAAACTCCAAACTCTTGGCTTCTGAGACACTATACACTCCTCTGGTTCTCCTTGAAAGCCTCAGATCAATCCTTTCCAGACGACATTGACTTCAAATACCAGTTTTAAGACATAAGAAAAACAAAGTCATAGTTTCCTCGTCATAGACGTGATGAATTTTCTGATTAGCAAATGAACACTAAATAAAAATAGTCATCATCATAACCATAAGTACTGAGATGCTCTCCATTAATTATATTTTATTGTCTAATGCCAATCTTCTCTTTTAATTCATTTCACTAAAGTCTTAAATAAATCTTTTGAAGTAGCAGAACAGGAAAATTACCAGGCTGAATATCTGAAAGAATATTAATACAACATACTTAACACCAATTTTATTAGTAGTAATCAGAAACTATGCCAGACACATAGCAATCTGATTCAAAGCCACATTTAGGCTTATTTGCGGAACCGTGCAGACTTTACATCAAAATTTCGCCTCATAGTCTCCACCTTCAGTATTGTTTACATTATAGTCTCATATTTTCTATGACCCAGATTTCCATCTTATTTTCACTGTATTATTATTTTTTCACATATGTCTCCTTATTTTAAACCACTGCAAAACCTTCGCCAGAGACGTTAAAGCTTAGGTTGTGGAAGAGTGTATAATAGCCCTCCTAAATATCTGTCCTCCCCTTCTTCCTGGGCACATGGCTGCTTAGCTAAAAGCTAAGTTTTCTAGCCTCCTTTGTGTAGCTAGTTGTGGCCATGTGACTAAATTCTCAGCAACTGAACCCAAATGAAGGAGGTGAGCAGAACTTCTAAATCATTAGCTTTAAAAAAGAACTGTTCTTTCGACTTTTTCCAAGTTAAAATGTAAAATGGGGGCAGCATACCCCTAACTCTGCAGAGAAGGTTAACACGCTAGGGCACTGCTTCTCAAAGTATGGTCCAACAGTATCGATACCACCTGGAAATTTAGAAATGTAAACTTTCAGACTCCAACCCAGACTTACTAATTCAAATTCTTCAGGTAAGGCCAAACAATTTGTGTTTTTAACCGTTGTAGAATATGATAGCCTAGGAAGTCACTAAGATAAAGGAACCCATCAATAGTAGTAAATGTTAAGTTTTCATTGAATAAGGACCGAAATCATTCTACTGGCTGTGGCGTTTAAGATGGTTAGTAACCTTTGGCATAGTGGAATTTTTTTTTTTTTTTTTTTTGAGACAGGATCTCGCTCTTTCGCACAGTCTAGAGTGCAATGGCGCCATCACAGCTCACTGCAGTCTTGACCTACTGGGCTCAGGTTCTCCCATCTCAGCCTCCTGAGTAGCTGGGGCTACAGGCGTGCACCACCACATCCAGCTATTATTATTATTATTTTTTGTATTTTTAGTAGGGAGCGGGTTTCATCATGTTGCCCAGGCTGGTCTTGAACTTCTGGACTCAAGCAATTGCCAGCCTCAGCCTCCCAAAGTGCTGGGATTATGGGCATGAGCCACTGTGCCCAGCCAGAAGAAATTTTTAAAAAGTCCTCTACGTCATTCTGATAGACACTGAATTTTGAGAACCTCTGCCTTAGGGGATGGCAATATGCCCTGCCCTAGACCAAAAAGACTGTTATTTCAAAAAAAAACTTAAAATTTAAGCCATTGTAACCTAGCATTCACCCTAATACAATGGTTAATGGAAGAGACCCTGTAATCAAAACTGCATGGATTCAAATTCTGGCTTCACTATTCAGCAACTGTTGAACTTGGGCAAGTCACTTCACCTCTTCATTTCCTTAGTTATATAAACTTATGTAACAAAAACAGTAAGTACCTTTATAAGATAAGACTGTCATAAAAATTGAGATTGTAAACATAAATTGTATTGACAGTAAGCAATCAAAGAACATTAGCTATTACAATTATTATTGAAATGGGTGAGATATGAAATGCAAAAAATTCATTGCTCCATGATATTTTCTATCACTGAAAATAAAAATGATACTTGAAGATGAAAATAAACTACTAGCTGAAAAACATGCAATCCCAGGTCCTTTTTTTAGTGTTTAAGAAATTATGGCCCATCCCCAAACTATACCCTAGCAGTCCCTTTGTCCTCTAGAAACTAAGTATCATCTACTACTGACTCACCACACATATCTTGTTTCCAGTCATCTCTCCTGTTGTTTTCCCCAACCGAAACCTCATTTATCAATGTTCATCTGTAGAACTTAAAGAGTTAAATGTGTATGAGTCCTCACAAAGCCTAAGTCTATGATCTGGGAACAGTTGTCTCAAAATTCTTTATATTACTGTTCAAGTTCTGTAAGTATAATATAAAACTAAGTTAGAAAAGAGCTTTTTCTTTTACCTGGAAAGATTCCCTATTTTTTCGCTGTCGTCTCCTTTCTCTTAGCAAACTCTTCTGTTTTTCTTCTTCTTCCTCCTTTTCTAAAGCCCGAATGTGTTCTTCAAAGCAAATTAATGCATCTTCTTTGTCCATATCTAAAGTATTTGCCAGTTAAAATTTAAAGTGTCAAATGTCAACAAGTAGTTTATTTGCATTAGATCCCCCAAAATTTCAAAATCACCTGTCAAGAATACTTTTAGCTAGGCTAGGGTGAGGTGGCTCATGCCTGTAATCTCAACACTTTGGAAGGCTGAGGTGGGAGGATTGCTTGAGCCCAGGAGTTCAAGACTAGCCTGGGCAACACAGCAAGACCCCGTCTCTAAACAAACAAACAAACTTGTATTTAAACTCAATATGATTTGTAATCATCTGCATAGGAAAGTTTTAAGGAAAATTTCACAAAGAACTCAATAAAAGGCACTCTGAAACATGTCATAGGATAAAACAAAGGACGTGCATATGGCAAAACTAATGAAAATAAAAGTGTTATGATAAAATCTGTTTGCAATATCATAATTATTCCAGGAGCTTAGTATAGAACTGTGCACCCTATAAAAAAAAAATCTACTGAAGCATGACTTTTAGAGGGGTAGCTGAGAAAGCTATAATTTAAAAAGCAATTGGTTAACTCAGAAAGAATACTTAGGGAAGCCTAATGTAAGACAATTCTAATACACTTTCTTCTTTTTACAAATCTGTAATGTTATTACCTCAAGAAAACATGAGTAAAATGCGGTAATTCATTTAGTTCTTACCAAGTTACATACAAATGGCTAAGCATGATTTCAAATTTGACCTATAATTTAAATATTTCAAGGATTACCTGATAAAGCTACTTTAAATTTGAAAACACATTTTGTCATGAATCACAAACTCAATCAGAAAGAAATATCCTATTTGGAAATAAATGAAACATTTTTTCAGAAATGAACCAACAACCGCATAAGATTCAGTTAGTTATCTCATATAAAAAGTGAAAATAATTCTTCGCTGCTGGAGGACACTATTTAAAACTATTTCTCTTAGCCATTATTCTTACTTTGTAACTCCTCATCTTCTGCAAAAGTTGGATTATCCATCAGATACTGCTGGGCTTCAGACCAAGTGGTAGAGTATGTTACATTAGCCATGTTGTCAAGTATGTTTTTTAAGGCTTCCCAATTTCTCTTTCGCAACTGCTTTGCTTGTTCCTATAGCAGAAGTATTAATATATATGTTTCAAAGTTCCAAGAAATTAAGATACTTAAATTGCAATTAGTGGAGGCTTTATATTCTAATGGATGACCAAATTTCAAAGGTTAAATCAAATTTCAAATAAATTTCATTTACTTTAAATGGCCACATTGCTGACTCTGCTTGCTCTTGCCTAAGCACTTGGCTTTGGTACTTAGCTTCACATTTTCCACCTCCTTCTAAAAGCCAGAATCTGGAAACCATGTTTTCAGCTTTTCCCCCATACATTCCCCACTACATAAACCTTTCTACCACTAAGCATTACAGACAAAAACTAAGGTTACCATGGACAAGTCACATTGCAGGTAAATGCTAAAGTCTTCAATGACTTTCAGCTATGTTTAAATTTGATAACACTTGCATCTATGTGTTCCTTGAAAACTAGAAAGCATAAAATATAATAGGGCACAATGAAAAAGAGACAGGAGTGAAATAGGTATTTTAAAATGTTATAAGTTTTGTAGAAACAACTGCACACTGCTGTCATTCCTGTACCAATCATATGTTTGTTATAAGCAAAAAAACCCAGCATTTTTAAACCTAATGAGCAAAAAAAGTACCTTCTTTTTCAAAGTGAGTGTTTAAGATAGCCAATTAATGACAATACAAATAGCTGAATTACCCACTGAGTCTACATCAGTACTTAATACGCTACATGAATGATAAAGAAGCTTATTATATAAGTTATACATTCCATCTTTAAATGTTACTTCCAATAAATAAATCTGCTATACCACATAAACTGGATAAACTAAGCCACAAAAATGTACACATTTTAAAACCAATCTTCCTGAGAATGAGGAAACATCTTGTGTTATCTATAAATACCAGTAACTAAGAAGAATACCTTTTCTTTTTTTGAAAGAAAGAACAAAACGTCTTCGTAGATTTCAAGACGATCACGTTCTGATATTGCATTCCAAACTTCCATCTCTCCAAACATTTGCTCTGCTTTTCTATGTTAAAAAATTATATTATACAATAAAAATTAATCTTAACCAATTTTTAAACTAAATTTAAAACTACAAAATGAATACTTTCTATTCGAAGTTCATAAAAATATTAAAGGCAAACTCCTGGATAATTATGAAAAAAAAAATAGCACATGCCTCCCTCTCTCGTTAGAGATAGAGGGGATAATTCACATTAGGCACTGCTTATAGTCTAGACTACCTCTATATCTAGTGGCAGCCACACAAGACTACCAAACTGCTGACAGAACTAAATTACAGACTTCTCTGGAATACTGAGGAAAACAAAGAAGTACATACAGAAAATAGGCTTAATAACATATCGAAAAACTTTTAACATTAAATTATCCACAATTTTACATAAGCAATCTAAAATGAAGAATGCTATATAAAACAATTATCCAAAATGCTATGCCTACGTAATGAAAACTGCCTCTTTTTACTCCACAAAGATCAATAATGTCAATGTTTTTAAGTAAAAGGCAATCAAATTTGATTTTTCTTTTCTGTTTTTTGTTTGTTTGTTTTTTGAGACAGGGTCTCGCTGTCACCCTGGAGTGCAGTGGTGCAATTATGGCTCACTGTAGCCTTGACATTCCCAGGCTCAAGTGATTTTTCCACCCCCGCAGTCTCCCAAGGAGCTGGGACTACAGGCACGTGCCACCATGCTTGGCTAATTTTTGTATTTTTCTTTTTTTCCCCTATAAACAAGGTTTTACCATGTTGCCAAGGCTGGTCTTGAACTCCTGGGCTCAAGCCATCTGCTTGCCTTGACCTCACAAATAGTAGGGATTATAGGTGTGAGCCACCACGTCTAGCCTCCAACTTGATTATTGAATTCAATCTTTCTCCCCTTCTTCCAGTCTCTAAAAAACGTAGTAAGTCTACAAGTTAAATTCTACATTTAACTACAGATTTATTTGGTACCTCATGAAGCTTCCACATTCATAATTATCTAGTTTTATTTAATGAGCTCTGGATCAGCTACTGCACATGGCAAAAAAGTACGACACAAACAACAATGTAGTAAATATAGGCCATGCAACATTCAACATCTTACTTGTATCTGGTTGTAGAAGTCATTTTCTCATGATTTTCAAGAAAACGCTGAAAGGATTCCTTAGCCTCTTTGTACTTTGATCTTGCTTCTTCTTTTTCTTCTTTTTCTGTCTGGACTTTATAGGCATTAAAGGCTTGCTTTTTTTCACTTAACTTTGCCAAAGCACTAATATAAAAATACCATATAAGAGTAGACACAGGCAAAAGAATCAAATATTAGTGATTTGAAAAAAATAAAATTGTTTACATATATAAATTTTAAAAATTTCAAAAATTTATTAAAGACAAGAAATGATTGGAGAAAGTAATTTCTACTTTTAAAATAATTATTATTTTATATGTAGCAGGGTAAATTGTTTGACTGACTTTTTGGTTATTAGACATAAAACAACTCTATACTTGGTATCCTAAACAGATGTCAACAGTTAAATGTTTTCTCTTTCTATACAACTTTAAATGTGTTAGGCTTGCTATGCTCAAACTGAAAAGTAAAAAAAAGTTGGAAGTATTACCTGTATCGTGGATCATTAATAATCATTTTCATGGCTTGCTCCCATGAAGCATTTGATGGTACCCGCTGAAAATCATTTAAATGAAAAATTAAAATTTCACACAAGAAGAGTTTAAGTCACATAACAGGAACCAAGTATAATACTCACTGCAAATATCAAGCATTTCCATTTGCAGGAGTTTGAACAAGTTTTAAAAAATAGTTTTTTATTGAAGGCAAATCTGTGTAATACACCTATGAACTAAAATGAAAACTTTAACTGAAATTTAAATAGAGCATAAATGCTTTTTTCTTAGACTACTGATAAAAGATAATTATTATGAATTTTAAAACCCCTTACATTAAATATTGGGTAGAAATGTGCTTGTGTAATACCTTGTACACAATAGTTTTTGTGTTGAAAGTCAGTTTCACAAGTGTTCTTCAAAAAAAAAAACAAGACACATTTAGTTGCTTTTCAGTTCAACAGTTCATGAGACTGGTATTATCAATACCATCAAAGTTTAAAGAGTAACGTCATTTATTGGGTAAATATTATGCATCACATAAAAATCTGTAATATATACTTGATGTCAAAAAGTTAAACAATAAAAATCTGCAATATTAATACCTTTTCTTTCAATAATTCTTTAAAAGCTTGCTTTGCCTCCTCCTTTGTATTCCAAGTGTATGTTTTCTTTGCTGGTTGGCTCTCCTCCTCTTCCTTTTTGGGAGTAAAACTAGAGAGAAAATCAAATGTGGTATTTATGAATTAAATAAATTTTTGTTTCATTTAGAAAAATAATGCCTAAACTGTTTAAATGTTTGATGTTGAATTAAAATTTGACATTTAGGATAAAAGCTATATGAACTCTAAAAAAAACACTTATCTGAAGACAAAGAAATAAAGATAATAGTTTCCTAAAACTTCAGTTATTAAATCAGTTTTTAAGACCCTGGACAAATGACAAAATAAACGTTTAACTGAATTAAGACACTAGCTCCTCTGGCCCACAGGTTAATAGTTTTAAATGGCTTATTAAACTCATTCACTGGTTCCACATTAGTGCTGCAATAACTCTAAGGATTTGGGCAAGGGTGAAGATTAATAAGATGTAAGGATCAATCTAAATCAGGATTGACAAACTACAACCCACTAGTCAAATTCAGCCTATTAATTTTTGTAATTCTAGTTTTACTTGAAAATGCCCATGTTCATTTGTTTACAGATTGTTTATCGCTGACTGTGCTACCACAGCTGAATTGAGTCACTATAGAAAGACTATATGACACAAATAACCCAAAAATATTTCCAATCTGATATTTCATGAAAAAGTTTGCTGAATACTGATGTCAAACAAAAATTAATACTACCCAGAATTACTAACTTGTTTAATAACTGGGGGTCTTCCTGACAAGAAAAAATTGTATAAGCCTTACATTTCTTTCTACATAATAAGGGAATGTATGGGGTGGGGGTCGGGGGATGAAAAAAAAATACTTTAAGTAGAATGCTGACGCAAAGAGACACTGTAGTAGATACTGACAAAAAATGATCTCTATTATAGTAATTAAAATCAAAAGCATATTATAATGACTCAGGCACTATATCAAGGAAATGTCGGAATGAAAAAAAGCAGGAAACAACTATTTAATGTTAAACTTATGGAAAACATTATTGATGAAACGTTTCAGTACGACAAGATGCAAAATAAAATTATTCCAAAAAGCCTAAGTATCTCCGGATAGGGGAGCACTTCCATTCATGCACAAATGATAGTAACCCATCACTAGACATGATAGGTACACATTTCTATCAATGTGGAAGATGTCTCTGATATATTAGATATATATTCATGTATCTTAAATGTAGAGAAAATGTTAATTTCATTTTCATGCCTTCAAATACGCCATACGGATTTCTTTTAAAACGTTTTAAGCATCAGAAAAGGTTATCAATCTATTTTGACTTTGGGAAACTAACATACGAACAACAAAAGAACACTTAAAATAAGGGATGGATGGATGAAGGCAACACGCTTAAATATTAAGATGGATAATCATGTTTGGATAATGAGTTTACGGTTAACTATTTTTTTTTAAAAAACATGAGGGCACCCTTAAAGTCAAGAAATTTAGCTTGATCTCACTTTCTAAAGCTCTATAAAGCACAGCCATATAAACTGTACTAGACTACAGGTTATGCAAGTACACACAAACTGTGAACTCTTGACAGATACAGCTTTGTTTTATTAAAAAGTTGTATTACTTTAGTCTAAGAGTGAAATGAGAGTTTTCTTATATCTGGTGTTATCTTTTAAATGTTTCTCTACTTGATTTTCACTTAGAAAAATAATCACAATATTATTTTAACTTGTATTTCTTTATTATTATGGCTGAATGGCTTTTCATATACTTCCTAGACAACTTTCTTTCTCTGTAAATTGCCTTTTTTCCTTGGCCAGGTAGAAAAATCCCAGCATTTTGGGAGGCTGAGGCAGGCCAATGAGCTAGGCATGGTGCATGTGCCTGCAGTCCCAGCTACTCAGGAGGAGACTGAGGTGGCAGAATTGCTTGAGCCCAGGAGGTCGAGGATGCAGTGAGCCCTGATCACGCCACTGCATTCCAGCCTGGATGACAGAGGGAGACCCTGTGTCAAAAAAAAAGAAAAAAAAAGGGTGGCCTTGCTCTCTCACCCAGGCTGGAGTGCGGTGGTATAATCACAGCTCACTGCAGCCTTGAACTCCTAGGCTCAGTGACTCTCCTGCCTCAGCCTCCCCAGTAGTTGAGGTTAAAAGTGCTGGCTGATTTTTAAATTTTTTGTAGAGACAGGGTCTTGCTATGTTGCCCAAGTTGACATTAAACTCTTGGCCTCAAATGATCCTCCTGCCTGGTCCTCCCAAAGTGCTGGGATTACAGGTGTGAGCCACCATGCCTAGCCATAAACTGCTTTTTTCCCCCCCATAATTCCTTTTTCTACAAAGCTGTATTTTTAAAACTGATTTATAGGAGGCTGAAACCCAAAACACCAATAACCAAAGAAGAAACAGTACACCTATCTTAACTGAAAATATTGAGTCTGTTAATCATGAATTTTTGCACTGCTCTCATGTAAAATATTGCATCAAGATATGATGTATCTTGCTTACTAAGGTTTTTGGCAATCTTTCAGATTTGTGCCCCAACTCCCCAGCCTTGGCTCTACTTGTTAAAATTTCAGTGAACTAAAAATTTCAAGTTTGCTGGCATAACCCTCCAAAATTCAGCCTGAAAACTGATCAACTATCTTAATGGCTTGATATTACGATTCTCAAAAAAATTTATTTAAACAATTTATGGCCACTAAACTGGCAACTACTTTTATTAATGAAATCTGGTACTGATTTTCAGAAGACAAGTTACTAAACTTACTCAGCTACAGTTTCTTGCTTAGATGTTTCTTCTCCAGTATTACTGGATACTTCCACACTTTGATCCTGAATAGCAGGGGTACTAGTAAGTTGTGCTTGTTCCTCAGTTGAAATAGTTACTGTATTCTCATTATCTACAACAGTAGCAACAATGGAAGTAACTTCAGGCTCAGGAACAACTGGAACAGTTCCACTGACAGTATTAGAAGTGGAAGTGGAAGCATTAGCATTGGCTGCAGCTGCTGCAGCTGCTGCTGCTGCTGCAGCTGCAACAACAGCAGCTGCTGCTTCTGCAGCAGCCATGGTGCTCATTGTGGTCGGAATTTCTGTTGTAGGAACTGGGGCTGTTGATGTTGTGGTGCACTCTTCTTGCTTACTATACATTAAAAAAAGAGAACACTGGTCATTTCATTATTGTAATCAGAAAGCTAAATAAAGCTAGCTTTAAAATTGTCATAAAATCAAATAATAAGAAATAATTGAAGGAAAAAACAGCAAGAAATGCCAAACCCATTAAAAAAGATTTTAAAACCACAGAATATAACTGTACTACTTTAATTCCATTAACATTCATGGTAACGTATTACAGGCACTCAAAAGTTCAGTAAGCATTTACATTTATAAAATACCCAATCTATCAGATTGTATTACACCATGAAATATGACCCATATTAAAAAGTTCTCTAAGAACTTTGAATTTTCTCCAATTCACCCATTTAGAGGAAACCCTGTGTAAAGGAAGAGATACACAGATATATTTCGTCCATTCCCTCATCAACTCAAACTGAATTTTGGACTATTCTGTAACACAGTCTTCTTAATTTGTAAGGCATACAGTACAAATTCTAATACTCACTGTATAGCAAAGCATCAAATTGAGTAAATATCCCCCTCCCTAATTTTTCCTCAACAAAATGCTACAAGGACATCAAAATATCAAGCCTAACATGTTAAATCATTACTTGTATTACAAAGAAAATTGAGCAAACACAAGGATATTATAGGAGAGACCAAATTCGTCAATAAAAATTGATGTCCAAAATTGCTTACCTGCTTTCTTCAGCTTTGATCATTGCTATTAAAGAGAGAAAAAAAGTCATCTACTAGTTTTAAAATATAATCACTGAAAACAAACTTTAAAAGATTTAAACTTTAAAAGTATCATACAAAAGGATTTCATTTTCCATCCTAAAAAATAAAAAATCACTTTTACAGAACAAATTCTTGCTCTAAAAGTCTAGTATAGCAAATAAAGAATAAAACAAATTTAAATAAGAGTAATTACTAGGAAAGCTTATTCCATGCTGCTGCTTTCCCAGAGGCTGCTGTAACAACTCTGTGAAAGTATCTGCATAATTCTGGAAGAAAACAGTATTTTCTCCAGGGATGAGACTCGTTCGATTTATTTTTAAGATACTAAATTCAAAATGGGATCAAATTTATTATAAAATTTCAGCACATACATACTAGCATTGACAAGTAGATAGATAGTTACGCACACCAACTATTTGTAGTAGGGTTATATCAGAAATGAGCTTGATACTTTGTAAATGATCAACTGGGAATCTACCTATCTACATATTATTATTAGCCAATGCTAGTATAGGTAACTTAAACTGAGCTTTAAAGATCTGCACAATTTCAGTTTTCATTCCAGTACATTTTCCATTGGATGTAACAAAAATATCTTCTATTTGACATTATGAAGGGAATGAGGTTCTCCACATTAAGTAATAACACAAGCCTAACTCTTTACAAAAATATTTTTTAAACTTATCACCCTTTAAAGAAAAATATTTCTGAAAATCGGTTTAGGACGGCTGAAAAAAGGTACTTAAAAAGTTATCATTACTAATGTAAATTAACATTTTTCTGATACAGTGATGCTCTAACTAATGAGGTGGCACAAGGAAAAGGTAAAGGGGCTTAATATGACAGAGTCTTTTACGAAATTTTTATTCTCTTTTCCTGCCAGATGTCATTCCACATCACTATCTACTTTATTAGCCCCATTCTCCTACAATCTGCTACTTCTAATTTTATATAATCTATGACACTAGATTCTATTAGAAGTGAGTATAAAAACTAGATTTTCAATCCCTACTGATTATCTCTATTTTAAGTTTTAGGTTTTACATTTAGTATTAAGTATTTCTAGATTTTTAAGGGTTATTCTGATTAGTTCCAATGTTGAAAAATTTTCCTTTGTAAGTGAGGCATGATACTTGGTTTACCTTAATTCTTCCATAATGAACATATCAAGGCTATTTTGCAACACTATGCTAAACAAAACCAGCATTAAATATATAGTCTGACAATATACTAACAAAATATAAATGGATATAGGTTCAAGGTACTCTACTATCTATTACCATAAAATGAGTTAAAACACAGGTTATATGTATGCACCAACACTCAGTAGGATTTGGAAATTTTGTATGTGAACTCCTTGTTCAACTGAATGATAAACAATCTTTTTTCTAAAAACCAAAGTACAACTTTAAAAGCTACAAGCTCATTTATAATATAACCCTTTAATTAAAAGAATTCTTAAGAGATTTTTCACTGCAGATTTATCCAATCATGGTTAGTGAATATTAGTGACACACTCTAATAAAAATGTTAAGTATGACAGAAAATGAATTATCAAAGCAGCTCACCATGCAGGTTTGATTTTGTAATAAGACTTCCAGCAACAATGGTATTCTGGTATCCTAGTTTCAGTGGAATCAAATCAAATAAAAATCTATTTAAAATCTATAGAACTGAGATCTAAAGCAACAAGAAAATAAGAGCCCAAAAAACTGTTACGCCATTTTAAATGTTCTAGTCATTTAATTTATTAAAAAAAAAAAAAAAGGGGGGGCCTCTGTTTGAACAATCCTATTCTGGAGGAATTGTTTCAAAGTGAATGGCATATACATGTAAAACACATACATTAAAAACTACTTTTCCCCATTTTACCTTCAAGATCCTCAAGTTCTTTAGGTTTGGCCCAGCGAGATTCTTTTGTTTGAGAATTATAATAGTAAGGCTTTCCAGAATCTGATTTGTATTCCTTCCAGGGGCATTTAGATAAGAGTTGCTAAAGAGGAAAAACTTCATTGTTAATAATAATATATTTAACATCACTGATCAATTGCATGGCATGGCTGTTTTCACTAGAAATTACCAATTGATACAATTCTAAAACTTGTGAGATGATGGTAATAATATAAACTATCAATTATTGAATACTCACTGAGTGATGTAATTTGAATACATTATTTAATCTTTGTAACACTGCAAGATATATAACATAATTCTATATCTAGGGACTGTTACTTGAAGTCAGAAAGTAACTTGTTTAAGGTAATATACTCATTAAAAAGCAAAGACAAGATTCAAAACCAGTTCTACATGAATTTCAAATCCTATTTACTCTTACCATTCACACCCCATTGTAGGTCAAGATTATCATCCATACTTAACAGACTTCTCAAATACTAATACTAGTTGGAAAACCATAAAAGTTGGAAAAAAACAAAATCTAGTTTAGTCATGCTTAGATTTCAGTTTCGTAGTTTATGAATGAATTAACTTATGTAAGAAAACACGTAGGTATAATATACTTAAAATCGAATAAACAAAACCTGTTAGGGTAGTATGAGAAATCTATTCAAAAGCTTGAATCCAGACAAACAGTGTCTTGGACAAAGTATATAATTGATATCATTGACTATAAATCAGTATTGGAATACACATTTTTAAAAATCGACCAACCTCCTCTCCCAAGCACTGCTGTGCATATTAGTATGGCAACCTGGAAAATACTTTTACCTTCTCAAATTCCTTAATTAGGAAGAGAAGAAAACAAAAAGGTATACCACCAGCTAGGATGAAACTTAAGCATAGCCTGGAATGCCAGATCAACTCTTACTTACTTAGCATCTCAGAGTTTCTAATTAAACAACATGGACACTGCTTAATTCAGTTTATTCCTTCAATCTTAACTTTTTCTTCAATATCTGTATATTTTGAATGGTAAAACTTACGGCACAAAATGAAATAAAAACACACTTTTTAAAAGGGCATTTCCTACAAAGAGAAAACTTCCCACTCTAAGAGAAGGAAGTATTTGTAGGTAACTTAATTTCATCTCCACTACTCTTAACCCTAGTGGAAATTTAAGAACTCAGCAGAAGTCATTTAAAATCACCCAGTTTTGCTATAAATAGAAACAAAAAAAGGGGGGGGCAGGGAAAGAAACAGTCTTCCCCACTTCCAATTTATTATTTAAATCACCTTTTTAAAATTGATCCCACTCTACTAGGTTTCCTAAGGTGGGACAAAATCAGTAAATAAAATTATTCTGATGAGTTTTATTCTTCTTCCCGATTGGTGTAATTATACTAACCCTCTTTGTTTCTGAATGTCTTTACAGATCCTCTTCTGACATTTAAGCAGTATTGCTCTTTCATAATCAACTACTTACAAAATCCTAAAAAATATGCCCCAGTCTACTTGACAGTCCCTAAATTCCAGCCCTCAAACTTTTACCTCAGCAGGTGTTTTGAGATCATCCGGTTTCTCCCAGGTAGATTGTTTGGTTTCAGTGTTGTAGTAATAAGTCCTTCCATCAGGTGATTTATGTTCAGTCCACATTGATTTCTAAAGAACAAAGATTATAAAGATGTAAATTATGTAATAATGTCATTGACGATATCAGTATGATTAGTTTCAAGGCAATAAATATATTAATAAATCAATTAAAAGTATAAACTGGGCATATTTTGACAGTTTAAGTAATCTAGAATAATTCATCAATACAAGTAGGAAAGGAACTGACAATGTTTTTAGAGTACTTCAAAAGCAGCATGGGTAAATTCAAGTTTCAGGATCTCTCTGAATTACAAAGATAAGACTACTCTCCAAAGAACAGTAACTTTATAGCTTACATACACAAGACAATCTTTCAGAATACAAATCTGTGCCTAGTGGATAAAGAAAACATAGGAACTAGATGTTAATATAGTTGAACTGACCATGTGATCATTTATTCATCTACTGTAGTCCAAGGAATCCTTGTATCAACTTAGACAAAGTTCTAATTGACATGCCATAAAGAAAGACACAGCTGTCAAAACTGGAAAACACAGCTTCTGGACAACAATCAGAATTTAACTATCAACAAGATGAAATTTGACAGGGATAAAACTTGTATGTGAATGCCTCAAAACAAGATAGATGAGATAAAATTTTACATGAATGAAACTATAGAATATAAATCCACTATTAAGGTCAACAGAACACACTAAGAACCTACTAGAAGTTGCTAATGATACTTCAGGAAACACTAGACATCCCTCAGATAAAAGTTGATTAAAAGTTTTAAAAGGCATCATGAATGAATGATTTACTAGATGATATCAAAGGTAGTAAATCTAGTTCCAAGCACCAGATTTTTCAGATGGTGACAAATTTAACTATACTTGAAGGAGGGTAACAAAAATGATTTATATAGTATTTCCTCAAATCTAAGACATATTATTGTACAAACCTCTTAAGAAAAAATAAAATCGCTATCAAACGATCATATGCTTTTTTATCACTTGGATTCTACTTCAAATTTATTTAAAGTTACAGTCTTACTAGCACATTAATTTTACCATATACCACTTTTATGCAAACATAACAAGAAAAATAGGCAAATAAAGTACTTAGGAGATCCCTTAAATTTCCTCACACTGAGACTTTCTGTGTCAGAGTGGCTGATATCCATTATATTCCAAATATAAGCTCTTTAGCATCAAATATATTGGTAATATAGTATATCTTTTAAAAAATCATAAAACAAGTGAAAAGTCACTGGTACAGGTTCTTAATGCCTTTTGTACCTTATTTAAAAAGCTGATTTTTAATTTTTTCTTATCAACTTTAGAGTAAGAGCTCACTTAGTTTTGATTTCTGTTTTGGGAATGTGACTGAACATATGTGATTCATTTCTTTACCGATTTTCTCACCATAATCATTTTATTCCTAGCTACTGAGGGAGTGATGTCACTTTTATGATTTTCTTTGAAACCAATGACATCCATTCTTTTGATGTGGGCACTTTTGCTGTTTACTCATGCACAACTGCTACCCTGACAATGGAGGTCACAGATACTATGGATTACAGCAGGGGTCTCCAACCCCCAGGCCATGGACCATGGGGCAGTTCCAGTCTGTGGCCTGTTGGGAACAGGGCTGCACAGCAGGAGGTGAGCAGTGGGCAAGCAAACAAAGCTTCATCTGTATTTGCAGTTGCTCTCCATCACTCACATCACCTCGTGAGCTCTGCCTCCTGTCCTATCAGCAGTGGCATTAGTTTCTCACAGGAGTGCAAACCTTATCGTGACCTGTGCATGTGAGGCTGCATGCTCCTTATGAGAATGTAATGCCTGATGATCTGTCACTGTCTCCCAACTAGACAGTCCCGTCTGCAATAAATTTCTGCATGCTGTAGCAGGATTATTAGATAATTCCAAAGCTGTGTTAAATTCTAGCACTTTATACTGGATAAAACCACCACAATAACTCTTAAGCAAATATAAAACAGGTGCTGGAAAAATAATCTGGCTTTCTGCTATTAGCCTGCTTTAACTTATTTTCATCAAAAGTTGGTGCGATTAGAAACACAAGTGTGGAAACTTCAACTATATGGTAATGCTTTATTTCACAAATTAAATGGTGTTAAGACAGATGAAGGGGTTTATTTTTCTTTTAAAAACAACTAATGATCTCAGTAGCATCTCAAAACTGCACTACCTAAACAGAGTTCTACCATAAGCTGCAAAATTGTGTAGACTACTTTCAACTTTCCAAGTCACATCTGCTAAGGAGCATCAAGGAAAGAGCAAAATCAGCAAAACCACGAGGAAATAAAAGAATAAAAAAGAAAAGGACACTGTATAGCTGACCAAATGATGAGGAGGGAGAGGAGACACAAGCTAATAAAACAAATAGAAATCAACTTAATATTCTTTACCTATTTAAGCCTTATAACTAACTACACTACAACGCAAATATAATTACTATCTTTCTATAGATAAGAAAACCAAGGTTTAGTAAGGCTAGTAACTTGCTCATAGGGACTTGGGAAATGACACTAGAACATCGAACTGCTTTTCAAGACCACAATTATTTTATTACCAACAGTTATTGTGCTAATAAAAAATTAGATATGAAACAACAGTTCTGGGAAATCAATTAAAACAAGATTTTTGGGCGAGTAGGTAGATAAATTGAGAGTATATCAGCAAAATAAGGGATAAAATTATCCTTACTATATCGACAATCAATATGAAAACACAGTCTACTGGAAAAATAAATACGGCCATAGACAGAACACAGTTAATATATTAGATGTTCAACTTCACTAGCCAATCAAAAAACCACACATTAATGAAAACTTTCTGCTCATCAGATAAATGACAAAGACCATTAATATACAATGTGAAAGAAGTGTGAGAAAAAGGGTATTTTCACGTGCTACCGCTGGGAATGAAATTAGCATAAAGGCAATTCAGCAGTTCTTACAGATATTAAAAATGCAAACATCACCACTTGAACCTGAAATTTCACTCTGAAAACTTCCATTCATATTGTTGCAAACACGTACAAGGACGTTGTTTACAAGATCATTAAGTGTAATGGTGAAGAATTACAGTTAACTCAATGTCCACCCATAGGAAAACAGGTCAATTATGGTCCATTCATATTACTGATTATCTTATTTATAATAAAATAGAAAATGTCTAAAATGCAGTGCCAAATGATACAGTGGCAAAAATATATACAGAAAAATCATTTGAAATGCAAAGAAAACTGGGCATAAGGAAAAAAGCATGCACATATAACTATCACAAGTAATAAGCTCTTCAGGTTCAGAAAAAGCTAGTCAATAAGACAAAAAGAAGGTTTTAAAGAAATTCAATATATTCAAACTCAACCTTCTATGTGTCATGGAGACAAACACATATACACACACATTTGTACAATGTATAAGCTGAACTTATGAAAACTAGGAAAAAATGGCTAAATCCAAACACTGAATAAATAGAAAAATCCCCTTACTACTCTAAATAAGGAAAATATTAAAAAGCTGGCTAGGCTTGGTGGCTTCTGCCTGTAATCTCAGCATTTTGGGAGGCCGAGGCGGGAAAATCACCTGAGGTCAGGAATTCGAGACCAGCCTGGCTAACATGGTGAAACTCCATTTCTACTGTACTGAAAATATAAAAAATTAGCTAGGCATGGTGGCGCACGCCTGTAATCCCAGCTGCTCAGGAGGCTGAGGCAGGACAATCACTTGAACCCGGGAGGCGGAGGTTGCAGTAAGCCAAGATTGTGCCATTGCACTCCAGCTTGGGCACCAAGAGCAAAACTCTGTCTCAAAAAAAAAAAAGAAAAGAAAAAGAAAAAGCCAAATAATAGTCAGAATGGAGGAAAAATAGAATCACAGATACAGATTTAAAAACAATCAAAACCTAGAGAAAATGATTTCCAAGCAAATCACTTTACCAAAATTCACCCCAGAAAAAGCACATCACACTTGAACATCCCAACAACACAGAAACAAGAGAAAGATACAAAACCACATGGTTTCACAGCAGAATGTTATACAACCTTTAAAGAACACAGAATTGCAATGTTATATCGGGATTTCAGATTATAGGGGGAAAAAGATGAAAAGCACTCCATTAATTAAAAAGAAACAGAAAAGATACCAGAAGAGCATCATGAATGTAAATTTAACAACATATACACTCTGACCAAGCAGAATTTACTGTAGTACAAGAGTAGTTCAATATTAGAAAATCTACAGAAGAAATTATTTCCATTATCTAATCAAATAAAAAACAAGTATGTGATTCCACTATGGTATGATTAAATCACACCCAGAAAACTAAGTTCACAAGTATTCAAAAAATAAAAAAAACAAAATGCTCAAATGAAATAATTTAAGAAATAAAAAACCTAAATGATAAAAGGCAATCAGTTATCACCCTAAAGCCACTTCCATTAAAATCACAAAAGCACACCTGGAATCACTAAAATTCTGGCAAATATACCACAGCAATAAAATGAAATTACTGGTGCAAATTTTGGAGAAGTAAAGTTCTCTTGCCTTTACTGCTATTTTTATATATATATAATTCCAGTGAAATCTAATTACAGTTTTTAAATACTATTTGAACTGATAAGGAAATCTGGTAATGTCATTGGTCACAAGACAAATACACAAAATAATCTGCATAGATGATAACTAGGTTAAAATAAACATAGGAAAAATTCTGTACTCACAATGTAACATTTTTTTCTTTTTTTTGAGAAAGGGTCTCACTCTGTTGCCCAGGCAGGAGTGTAGTGGCATGATCACAGCTCACTGCAGCCTCAAGCTTCTGGGCTCAAAAGATCCTCCCTCCTGAGCCTCCTGAGTAGCTGGGACTACAGACACACACCACTATGCTCAGCTAATTTTTTATTTTTTTTGTACAGACAGGGTCTCACTTTGTTGCCCAGGCTTGTAACACATTTTTACAAAGCAAACAAACTTTAAAAATAGGGTACCTATTTACCTTATCTAAGCAGAAGTTAAAACAAAAATCATAATGGAAAAGTGGGAGACTATATACTAGTAAAAAGTAACAGATCAAAAATTACCTAAACACATAGGCATATGGCAATTTAACCTTGAAATTCAGAGAGAAGCAACAGAAAAATACAGGGAGAAAGAGATGACTCATCTTTTCTAGCTAAAGATTTTAATTCGCTATCTTCTTACGTAGATCCAAGCAGATGAAAGACATGCCAAGATGCAGGAATAACAAAGTAACTTTATATAGCACACAGAATATTCTTAAAAACTAGCCCTGAATGACAACATATACGAAGCTTTAATAAACTGTAAAGAACTTTACATCTTAGAGACTGTACTTTCTGATCATAATGCAATAAGGATAGCTCATTAAAAAAAGTTCCCCAAAGGTACAATCCATGAAATAATTGATGGGCTGAAATAACAAATTTAGTTTTCATTAAAATTAGAAACTTCTGCTCTGTTAATCTGAAGAATGAGAAGATAAGCCACAAACTGGGAGAAAATAGTTGCAAAAGACTTATCTGATAAGTTATCTTAAAACTCTACAATAAAAAAACAATCGGATTAAAAAATAGGCAAAAGATCCAAAGAAACACTTTCCCAAAAATGTAAAGATGGCAAATAAAGATGCTCCACATCACATACAATTAGCCACAAATTAAAGCCGGATACATTATACACCTATTAAAATGAAAAATCCAAAACGCTGATATCAAATGCTGGTGAAGGTGTGGTACAACAGGAGTTCTCATTCATTGCTGTTAGGAAGTCAGAGTGGTACAGCCACTTTGGAAGACGATTTCAAGGTTTCTTAACGAAACTAAACACACTCTTACTACACAATCCAGCAACAGTGCTCCTCATTAATATCTACCCAAATTAGTTGAAAACTTATGTACACACAGAAAATCTGTACATGTATGTTTATAGCAGCTTTACTCATAATGACCAAATCTGGGAACAACCAAAATGTTCTTCAGTACATGAATGGATAAAGTGTGGTACACCCAGATAATGGAGTATAATTCAGTGAGAAAAACAAACGAAGTATCAAGCCATAAAAAGACAATGGAGGAACCTTAAATGCATATTACTAAGTAAAAGAAGCCAATCTGAAAAGGCTAAATACTGTATGATTCCAACTATATGAAATTCTTAGAAAAGCAAAACTATGAAGGCAGAAAAAAAATGGTTGCTGGAGTAGAGCAACAAGAAATGAATAGGCAGAGCACTGATTTTTAGGGTAATGAAACTATTCTGTGTGATACTGCAATGGCTGATACATACATATTCATTATACATTTGTCAAAATATATAGGATGTACAATATTAACAGTGAACCCTGACATAAACTGTACTTTGGATGGTAACAATTTGTCATTGTATATTCATCAATTGTAACATATGTACCAATCTGGTGTGACATGCTGACAGTGCCAGACAGCAAGTTCTTTGTGGGGGGTAATAATCTGGGAACTCTACTATCCACTCAATTTTGCCATAAACCAAAAACTGCTCTTAAAAAACAGTATCTATTTTTTAAACAAAGTCTCATGTCTGGAAACCAAGAAAAACATATCCCTTAATAAAGAAATTTGTGGGTTTTTTATTTTGAGATGGGGTCTCCCTGCTAATGTGTGGTGGTGGCATGATCTCGGCTCACTGCAGGCTCAATCTTCCTGGGCTCACGCAATTCTCCTACCTCAGCCTCCCAAGGAGCTGGGACTACAGGAGTGTGCCACCATGCCTGGCTAATTTTTGTATTTTTGTAGAGATGGGGTTTCACCATGTTACCCAGGCTGGTCTCAAACTCCTGGGCTCAAGAAATCCTACCACTTCAGCCTCCTAAAGTGCTAAGATTACAGGCATGAGCCACTGCATCTGGCCAGGAAAAGTATTAATATTGGTTTAGAAATACACAAGTAGAAACAAACAGTGGAAAAGGAAACACAGAGATAAATCCCAGAATACGTGAGAATTTAAATATGACAATAAAGAGCTTTCAATTAAAGTCAGAAAAACTGGTTTGATAGCTGACACAAATGGCTATCCATCTTATAGACAGATATTCCAGATGAATCAAACACTTAATGATTTTAAAAAAAGCAATGAGAATCTTCCAAGAAAATACAATGAGGAAACTTTTGTAAAAATTTCAATAAACTCATCAGCTAAAAGAGATAACCTATCTAATTACTACATTAACATACTAAAAGGTTATGTGGCAAGATCATTAAAAGCAAAATCAACAGACCAATGACTAAGAAAAATATCTGAAATTCATGATTATTAAAGGGTTAACATCAGTAACATTTGAAAAACTCTTAAAATGAAATTTACAGGAAAAAATAAAAAATAACCCAACCTAAAAACAGGAAAGGACAGGGACAGGTTAACAGAAGAGAAATCCAAATACCAAATAAAATGTTCAATCTCATTAAGAATCAAAGAAAAACTATCACTTTAAACCCATGTCCACTCACTAAAATTCAAATGAGTGATACTGGCTATTGCTGCTAGAGATTCTTGAAGAAAAAGACATGGTACTACACCATTATTAGATATGTCTTTTTATATTCTTGAAAAACAACATGACTAGTTACACACGATCCGTCCCGAATATGTTATTCCTGGAATCTTTCTTAGGTGTAAAAAAAAAAAAAATTTGTTCATAATTGGGAGGGGATCCTAGATGTAAACAGAATTTCCATTAATAAGTGAATGGTTTAATGTGTCTCTATGCCAAAGAATACTTTATAAAGTCATTTAAAAAATTACATCTACATTAAGGAACTTACACAGATTTTCACAAAAAACTTTTAAACAAGAAAAAGTGTATTTAACAAATAACTTAAGCATATATAACGTGAACCAATTATGTAAAATGTGTATGCATTTGTCTATGCTTAAGTAACACGCAAAAAGATCTTCAGCTAAGGTATTAATGGTGGTGGTTCCCTCATGGTCCAAAAATTAAGGATGAATTTTACTTCCTTTTTAACTTATGTCTGCTTTGTTTTCCTCCCAATGAGCCTGCATTATTTAAATAAGAAAAAAAAAAACCATTAAGTTATCCTTTCTCAAAAATAAAAGCAGGTACTTATAGTAGAATAATACCAAATGGGCTGGGCGTAGTGGCTCATGCCTGAAATCCCAGCACTTTGGGAGGTCGAGGTGGCGGATCACTTGAGGACAGGAGTTCAAGACCATCCTGGGCAACATGGTGAAACCCCATCTCTACAAAATACAAAAATTAGCCGGACATGGTGGCACATGCCTATTGTCCCAGCTACTCAAGAGGCTGAGGCAGGAGAATCGCTTGAACCCGGGAGGTGGAGGTTGCAGTTAGCCAAGATTGAGCCACTGCACTCCAGCCTGGGCAACAGAGTGAGACTCTGTCTCAGCAAAACAAACAAACAAACAAAAACCCAAAAGGATATTTTGCAACCATTCAACTTTTAAGGCAAAAGACACAAGAATGTTTTTAAAGCATTTAAATAAAATTCTTAATTTAAAATCTTCTCTCCAAATGCGAAAAACAACATTTGCAATCAATTCTGTTAACTGTAACAGTAGCATAACAGCTACCTCTCAGGAACATTATGATTAAATGAGATTATAAACAAAACTCTTCCTTTCATTGATCTTTAAGGAATAGCAAAATAGCAAAAATGTTTTTAAATTAAGGTACATAAATTTTCCTATCCATATATATATACATTAAAAAAAATAAAATTATCGCCTAACATCTCTCGGGCACTGTGGCTCACGCCTGTAATCCCAGCACTTTGGGAAGCTAAGGCAGTCAGATCACTTGAGGCCAGGAGTTCAAGATCAGCCGGGCCAACATGGCAAAACCCCGCCTCTACTAAAAATACAAAAATTAGTCGGGGATGCTGGCAGGTGCCTGTAGGCCCAGCTACTCAGGAGGCTGAGACATGAAAATCACTTGAACCCGGGAGGCGGAGACTGCAGCGAGCTAAGATCGCACCACTGCACTCCAGTCTTAGTGACAGAGCGAGACTCTGTCTCAAAAAAAAAAAAAAAAAAAAGATTATCTCCTAATGTAATGCTTAATTTGTAATTACTAGGTTAAGTACTATGCACCTACAAGTTCTGCTTCCCTTCTAAATGTGATGGGAAGAATTTAAATCCTTTTAAAAGTTGATACGTATGATTCTCATCTCTCATTAAGCCCCACCGAAACTAGATTTTAAAATAAATAAATTTTTCAATCCTTATCATAGAAAAAAAGGGAAAAGGGAAAACTATGGATTAATGCAAAGATTTAGCAGATAATCCTTAGAGCAGAAAAAAGAATAATTGTAAAGTAGGTTAAAGTATACTAAAATTAAAATATTACAAACGTTTAAAGAGTACTTACTGCACCAGATGCTGTACCTAAAAAATAAAAAACAGGCAAAATATTTACACCATGATAAATCATGCTCTCCTTCATAAGTTTTAATATTTATTCATATATTCATAGTACTTATTCCTCCTCATCCTCAAGATTTTGAGACTATCTCATATGAACTATGTGCTAGCTATCTTTCCCACAAAATAAACATCTATAGTGCAAAACATTTTCAGAGTTTGAACTTTCAATCTACAAACTCACTTGGAGGCAGTCTGAGAAGTATTCAACATTGCCTTTTATTTCTCCTTTCCTTACTATAATAGGTGACCGTGTTTCTTATTCCTCTTTCTCTACTAAGTATATTACCAAAGCACAATAATGCCTCTACCACTGATTCTACAGCTTTAGATTCCTGATAACTTTATCTGAATTCCAGATTTGTGCTGTACAACACAACAGCGATCAGACACCAGACATCCCTTTAAATTAAAATTTAAGATTAAATAAAATTTAGAAAATTCAGTTCCTCAGTTGCACCAGCCACATTTCAAATACACAATAATTACATGTATCTAGTGGCTACTGTATTAAGCAGTACAGATTACAGAACATTTCCATCACTGCAGAAAGTTCTATTAGATGTTACTGTCCTCTATACTACTACAGAAAACTCCTTAAGAGATTTTGAAATGCATGTTAGTCACAAAACTCCTACTAATAATCTTAAACTTTAGAAACTAGTAATTTAAACACGTAAATAAAATAAAGACGGAGATTGTATGTAAAACAAAACTAAGTTTGTATATACTGAGTACACTCAAAAGAAGCTACTATAGAAAATCACTGTAGAGCCAAAGCATTTTAAAAGTAACTAAAAACAAAAATTATGTAATTTTCCAGGATTACTGAGGGTAACAGTACCCAGCTCTAGATATCTAAATAAAAGAAAATAATTGTATTAGGTATTTCAGAACATTTTAGTTTAAATAATGAAATCTGTGAAACATCTTTAAAAAATCAATTAAGTCCCATTTGAACCCAGAGAAAAGCACACAGTACATTTTCAACACCTTTCAACCAATACTGTTTATAACAGAACACAATCTTGTCATAATCATGGGATGAAGTTCGGCATCTGGAATATTAATTTATGTGGACAGCTATGTATTCATGATACTGGAGGCATTATTAATATATATTAAAATCTTATGAGTCAAAATGGCCAGTTATTGGGAACTGATATTTACTCCAATGGCTATCAATACAAGGGCCAAGGAGACGACAGAAAACTAACTCTGAAGTAGTCTAGAATGCCAAGGAGAGCTCATACTAAAGAATGGAGTCACTACGTCATTCTAATGCTTGCTGAGTACAAATATGAACTCAACCAGAGTTCATTTAACATATACTCTCTGAGCACTTACTGTGTTGACAGGACTACTGTTAAGTATTGAATAGTCAGATCATCCAACTTTTCAAAATAAATTCAAACTCAAAATCTGCAGACTACAAATGTTAGCAATAATTACAAAATTGAAGAACATTGTGCGGGCCAAAGTATATCTGCAGACCTAATTGGGTCCAGAACTCCTGACCTTAAACTGTAAAAATTTCCTAAGAATTCAATTATCGCCAGGCGCGGTGGCTCACGCCTGTAATCCCAGCACTTTGGGAGACCGAAGTGGGCGGATCACAAGGTCAGGAGTTCGAGGCCAGTCTTGCCAATATGATGAAACCCGGTCTCTACCAAAATACAAAAATTAGCCAGACATGCACCTGTAGTCCCAGTTACTTGAGAGGCTAAGGCAGGAGAATCGCTTGAACCCGGGAGGCGGAGGCTGCAGTGAGCCAAGATTGCCACTTACTCCAGCCTGGGTGACAGAGCGAGACTCCATCTCAAAACAACAACAACAACAAAAAGACTTCAATTGTCAACGCTATCCCAGTTTCCTATTGCGGAAAAAAGAAAAAGGAGGTTATATAAAGTCCAAGAGATCCTGCTTTTTTTACTCCATTATAATAGGGCTGCTACTGTCCAAATGAGGTCTAACACATACCACCATACATAGTATACATACCTGCTGCTACATCCATACTATTTACTCCTGGCTGTAAGAAGAAAAATGAAATTAGTGTTATTCATCTCTTTTAAAGTGTATTTTATATAAGTTCCTCATAAAGCATAATGAAATCAGTACCTGCTATGTATAATCCTCAAGCCTGTGACTCAAAGATTCTTAGCAAAACTTTTAGTGGTCTCAGTTCCCCGAGCTTGCTATAAATTGTAAAGGAGATCAGCAAACTGAGGCTACGGGAGTAGTTTAAATGTTATATGCTCACCAAGTGTACACAAGGTCCTCAACGTTTTACCCACAATTCTGGAAACCAAAACCCTCTGAAAACCAACTTTTTTCAAGTATGGTACCAAAACTCACTACAGTGGCAAAACCTGCCCTAAATGAACATGAAACTCCACAAACTTCATTTATCCCACTTCAGTTTAGTTTAGCTGCAAAAATACTAACATTATTAAGTTAGACGGCATTGCCCTGGACCTCGCAGGAAATGTTTACATATTATATGCAATGTGCTACTTTCCAGTATTATAAAGAATTTTTGAAATATATCTCGTCTTAGGATTTTGGGAAAGACATTGCAAACTTACCACCTCAAGGGAGTATGCCACATCTGTTCATTACAATCACATAAAGAATAAAGAAGTTAAACTTGAATTTTGTAATAATTTATATTACTATACTACCCGATAGAGGTGGTAAGGCTGTTTAATAGATTTTCTAATTAATTTGCCACAGCTGAAGTCTCAGAATGTGGATTTCCAATTAAATCTTGATTTCTAAATCTAGTATTAAATCATATTATACCAACTTTTAATTAGCACTCAGTGAAGTAAATGTTTACCCTTTAAAACTTACATGTTATCAGACCAATAAAATGTTTCTGGCTCACATTGTATACTTTTCAGTATTCTGGTCTTAATACAGAATTAACCTAATAATTAAGAACGTACATATAATATCAATATAGGAAAAAATCTAAATGCCTATCATTGAAGTTACAGAAACTAAATCCAGGACAAGCACAGTGGCTCATGCCTGTCATCCCTGTGGGAGGCCGAGGCAGGAGGATAATTTGAGCTCAGGAGTTTGAGACCAGCTTGGGCAACACAGGGAGACCTCATCTCTATAAAAAAAATTTAAAATTAGCTCGGCGTGGTGGCACGTGCCTGTGGTCTCAGCTACTCAGAAGGCTGAGGTTGGAGGATTGCTTGAGCCCGGAAGGTTGAGGCTGTAGTGAGCTATTATCATGTCACTCACTGCACTCCAGACTGGTTGACAGAGCAAGACTCTGTCTTAAAAATACAAAGAAAAGAAAAGAAACTGAAAGTCCACAGTAATTCTCGTATTTTATTACAGTACTACACAGGCACTTCAACGGCTAACATGATTGCCTATCAAGTATATAGGTATTATTATTCCATATATAAAAGCAATCAATCAAAACATTACTTCACAGAAAATAGTTATTTTCACATGATTACCGGTAAGGCAGGCTGCATGGAAGCCTGAGACATATGAGACATCATCATTCCAGGCATTACTGACGACATCATTCCAGGCATCTAAAATAAAAGTAAAAAAGGTTACTAAAAGACCAAAGCACTTAATATGACTTTAAGAATCCCATAACTTAAGATTAAAAACCACTAAACACTATACCATGTGAATAGTATGCTTAGTAAGTGCTTGTTGAATGAATGAAGTACTTTATCAATAATCTATTTTAATACTTATGTCACAGTTTTTATATATACGGTCAAAATTATTTTAACAAGTAAATTTAGTAAGTTTGGACTATTACATTATTTCTAGCCTGAATTTAAAAAAACATTAATTTCCTTTTAGTTGTAACACAACAGTCATATTTTTCTCACTTCTTTCGAGCAAGAGAATTTAACATAAAATTTTTTCAGTATTTTTCACCTTTGATTTTTAATACATGTACTGAATAAATTTTATAATGTGGCACATTTCAAAATCCTAGATCAAAGGTGCTAATATCCAAACAATGACCTAAAAAAATACATTTAAAAAAACCCTTTTTAAATCACAAGTCATCTATCTCCTGTCATGTACAGAAAACTTAAGGCACATACATAAATATCTGAAGATATTAGTTTGGGAGCTCAATCTAGTTTATCAACAACTACCATTCAAATCTATGAATTAATTCTATTAAGTCTGAATATAAATCCTGAAGATTAACACAAGTTTCTCAAGAATTTGACCCAATGCTCCTCTATATTAGTATAATCCCACATTACAATTTTGATTTTAATGACCATTAAAAAGATCTAAGGAAATTCAGAAGGGGACAAAAATTACATACAATAATCACAGGTACTGGAACAAGGTAACCAGTTATTAAACAATTTCAAAGTAAATGAACATTTTGAGAAATAGGAACAACAGAAAATAAGCATATGGTCAGCAGGAACATACAGATTCAAGCCTTCTAAAGTTATGTAAGAACATTCACACACTGAATTGTATTCCTTGTGAAAGTGACCCATGAAGCTAAATGAGGCTAAGGTACCTATTAAAATAAAGTAGCATGCAGTTAACGGGTTAAAAACAACCAATAAACTGTCTAAACATCATTAAACAAAACTTTTTGACAAAAATTGTGACTATAAGAATGTGGTGGCTGACTTGGAATATGATCCAAATGGTACGTATTTTTTTTAAGGTACAGAATTTGAAAACCGAAGCACTGGCAAGCCTCCATCATCCAGACTGAGAATCAGAAAAATAATTTACAAGGTAAGGAGAAAAAACACAACAATCAAATTAGAAAGAACTATAACCAGGCTTACTCCCAGCCCATACATCTCCAGCCAATAGATATATCCTCGTAATTTTGCTTTAGGCCAATGTAAAATACGCTGAATCAGGTAACTGGTTGCATTGGAAAACAACCAAGATACATGACAGGCAACATAGAAACAACCTGCTACTTTAAGTAACCTATATATAAAATCAAAAGCTAGTAACATAACCAACACTAGAATTCTAAGCTAAATTGACAGATCAAGGCCTGAAAACTTTAAGAGAAAAACCAATCAAAGTAATTTCTCCTAAGAATTAAAGGTATTTTTTTTAAAGTAGAGTAAAATCTGCATAAAGCAACAGAACATTCTCTCGCTGGGCACGGTGGCTCACTCCTGTAATCCCAGCACTTTGGGAGGCCAATGCAGGCGGAACACGACGTCAGGAGACCAAGATCTTCCTGGCTACCATGAAACCCCATCTCTACTAAAAATACAAAAAATTAGCCAGGCATGGTGGCACGTGCCTGTAGTCCCAGCTACTTGGGAGGCTGAGGCTGAGAGGTGGAGGCTGCAGTGAGCTGAGATGGCGCCACTGCACTCCAGCCTGGGCAACAGAGAGAGACTCCGTCTCAAAAAAAGAACATTCTCTCACAGCAGTAGCAGACTGTACAAATAAATGTAATTTCAAATTGAAATATCCTGACTTTATCACACATATAAAGATAAAATCTTACTTAAAAACAAAGCCACATAAAAACCAATATATAAGAGTTTAGTAGACCACGCCAATGAGACTTACAGCAGGCAGTATTTGAAAATCACTAAAGAACATACAGAGTTTGACATAGTTCTCTCTTTAATTGACCTTCTTCCCATACCTAAAATGTTTAAACACCTCAGAAATGTTCTTTTAGAATGGAAATCATGGTATTTATTATAGAATGAGATTTAATGTCAAAAAGCTACATTCTCCCTTCGTATCTCCGTAAATTCTGGGGGTGAAGACAGTTAATCTTGTTTTACCTGACAATCTGCAAGTCCTAAATTATATACAACTGAATATCCTGAAAGTAAATCAATCATTAATGTAATTTAAACCAAAACTGTGATGTCAACATAAAACCAAAGAACAAAACAATAAACATGCAAAATACTGTATTCTGTAGGAAAAACTACTGTAAGAATTTAAGAAATTTAGAGTTCCTTTAGAGGACTGAGAATCCCTAAGTCTGTTTTTCCAAGTCTAAAAAATCTACTTTGTGGCGATGTTATGATTCTCATTCTCTACTAATTCCAGGATATACATAACATAGAGATACTTTTTATAATCTCTTTCTTTGAGGCTAAATCTTTTAAAGAAATTGTGTTGATTTATGCCAGTCACTTTGGCAGCACCATCAATCTGAGACCATGAAAAGTTTCTAAGCTATCTATTAACCCTTACTGTTAAGGGGAACACAAGATGCAAACTTAGGAGAATTGGCTATGGCTCAAATCCTCAAAAGTGATTTTTTCCTCCCTCATCCCAATAATAAAAGAGTTAAAACATTCAAATGTCTTTGCTCTCTCCTCTGTCACGGTAGGTATACTTCTTCTTTCCATGAAGAGGTGTCTCAACGTTATCTGTTGAGTGTTTCAGATTTTCCATTTAGATTTTTTTTTTCTTTTCACTCTTAAGGGCACATAAAACACAGTCATGTGTCATTTAATGACCGTATGTTCTGAGAATTGTGTCATCAGGAGATACCATCATTGTGTATCATAGAATGCACTCACACAAACCTGGATGGTTATAGTCTACTACACATCTAGGCTATTATGGTATACACAGCCTATTGCTCCTAGGCTAGAAACCCTTATAACATGTTACTGTACTGAATACTGTAGGCAACTGTAACACAATGCTAAGTATTTGTATATCTAAACATAGAGGTAGTATATGATTTAACAGGACCACCATTGTGTATGTAGTCTGTCATTTACCAATATGTCACTATGTGGCCCACAAATCTAATACTGTGTCTCAACATTTAAGTTCAATGAAAATGGGATGTTGCGTCAAAATAATAAAGGGGGAAAATTCTTAACTTAGTTGCTACAATAACGCCACAACGAATTCCATGAGCCACACCATTCTTAAGGCTACAAAGTGGTAGTTCATATTTACTTAATCTGAAGCATACTATAAAATCAAAACCATGTACTGCTTTGCAAATTCCCATTTAAACTACTTTGGTAAATATGTAAAAGTGCTATAATTCAAAACTTTTAGTTGTATGAGACATAAATTTCCTAAAATGTTAAACATCTGAATATTATGAAGAATTTGGCACCTTTAAAAAACGTAGCTGATACATTTTATACAATTCATGAGTGGCCAACCATATGTATATTTACACTATGTAAATCATTTCTATTTCCTATTCTTTTAATAAGTATAAAACTAATTATCAAGATGTTCTCAGAAGAATCATCAGTTTGAGGAAAATAAAAAATACATGAACAAAACACTAGGGAGCGCCACATATCCTGTTCAGTCATTCTTAGCATCCCAGAAAGTTTCTAATGTTAGATATAAACAAACATATTTCATTTATCACTCTACATATTTTAAAAAATGAAAATAAAAAGCGGTAGTAATGAAAGCAATATCAATGCTACAGTGAGTGAATTTTACAAAGTGTAAATTCAATTGGTCCAATTTTACCATGACATGAAAAGAAAGCACTTTAAAAGTGAAGAACTTCACATGGGGACTTCACAAGTTCTTTCCTTCATAGTTATTTCTAAAGTTTTTCCTGCTGGAAAGAAATGACAAACAATTGGACCTATCTTTTGTCTAGTATTACAAAAAAAAAAAAAAATCACCTGAAAAAAATATTAACTCCTAAATCTGGTGGTTTTTTAAAAACTATTCTTGCTGCAAACCTGTAGCAGCAAATCCATAACCTAAATAAATTTCATGTCTGCCTTTTTACTTGGGGTTCTTCTTAAGTGTGCTAAAGTAAAATTCCATAAGGTAAGTACAACCTATAAAGGCGGTTTTAATATTTTAGAATAACTATCTCATATACCACTAAATTATTTTATGAATATACAAATAAATGCCAAAAATCTTGAATAAATGCAAACTGAATCTTTAAATAGAACTAAACGTTCATTCAATTGGAGATAAATGGAAATATCTATGTTTAAAGCATACCCTTAGCAACCAAAAGTAAACTGGTGGCTTTTTTTGTGGAAATCATTTAAACTACTTCCTCTTCATCTAAAGCAAGCCTGTTCAATCTGTGGGCCATGGGCCACATGTGGCCCAGGACAGCTTTGAATGTGTCAACACAAATTTGTAAGCTTTCTTAAAACATTCAGATTTTTTTGGCTTTTTTTTTTAAGCTCATCAGCTACTGTTAATGTTATTTTTTTTTTTATGAGTGGCCCAGGGGAGCCAAAAGACTGGATACCCCTGATCCAGAGCAACATAAATTCAAAACATCATTTTTTGATAAGAAATATTTAGATAAATAAAGGGTAGGCAATATTTGTACAAATTGTTATCATGCAGAATAGAACTTTACCATGTAACAAGACAAGTGCCAGTATTCAAAATTTGCGAAACTCTCTCAACCTACAGAATTTAGAACTGCTGAAGTATAGCAACCCCTTCAGGGTCTAAGCAAATTAACCCAATTATATAGTCTTATACTGATAAATACAGATAATGCAGTCTGAAGTCAGACTGACAGAATTCCTATCCCATTTAACTTGGGCTAATTTATTTGACCTCTCTGGAC